CTGGTATTGTATTATAAGAATAAACGACTAGCAAAATCATATACAGTTAAACATAAATAACGATTTTTTTTCTCCAATTTTTCAAATGGAAAAAAATATTTTATTGGGGTTTTATTATTTAAAAAGAAATGTTCGCTGGATAGAGATTAAGTAATCAAATAAATCAGTTGGTGGTTTGAGTTTGACCGTTGAACAAGAGGACGTTAGGGGTACCGCTGGAAACAGACTTAACCTTACCGGTGGTGCCAAGAGAGCTGAGCTTGGCATAAACTTGAGCAGGAGAAGGGTTGGATAATGAGTTGATCAAGAGGGCGGCAACACCAGCAACATGAGGAGAGGCCATAGAGGTACCGGAAAGAGTAGCGGTAGAAGAGACACCAGAGATGTAAGAACTGAGAATGCTGGAACCGGGAGCGTAGATTTGAGTACAAGAACCCCAGTTAGAGTAAGAAGCTTGAGTGTCGGTCTTATCAGTGGCGGCAACAGCATAGACATTAGGGTTACCGGCAGGCAAAGCTTGACAGGTAGTGAGACCAGCGTTACCAGCAGCAGCAATGAGAGGAATACCACCGTTAACAACGGCAGTGATGGCAGTGTTGAAGGAATCGTAGGTAGGGTTGGTAGCACCGTTGGTATCCAAACCAAGAGACATGTTGATAATGTTCTTACCGACGTGTTTCTTGGCATCATTAGTAACGAATTGGAGACCGGCCAAAATGGCAGAGATAGCACCACTTCCTGTGTCATCGAGAACCTTGACACCAATCAAGTTGGTCTTCTTGGCAACACCATAAGTCTTACCACCAACAATACCACCAACGTGAGTACCGTGACCTGTACCAAGCTTGGTTTGTCCGGTGTAGGCAGAGAAACCCCAGGTAGCACGACCTTCGAATTCGTTGTGAGCAGTGTTCAAACCATCGTCAACAATGTAGACGTAAGCAGCGGAACCAGCAGTGGAGTCGTAGATGTAAGGCTTGGTTAAATCAAGACTTCTTTCAGAGATACGGGCCAAATTCCATTGGGCACCGGTTTGAGAGACGTAGGTGGCAGATGCAGTAGCATTGGAAGGAACGCTGACAGCTCTTTTCTCAACAATTTCTTCATCATCATGAGCATGAGGACAGTTGGCATCATGCTTGTAGCTGTCAAAGTGGAAGTTACCAGCACGTTGAGCAGTAGCTCTCTTGGCGTGGAATTTGTTGGAACCACGGACACCAGGGGTGGGTAAATCAAACTTGATATCCATATCAGGGATGATCTTGATGATTTCAGTATCGAAGGTTTCCAGTAAGGCTTTGACGAGATCAAGATCTTCAAACTTGACAGTGATAGCCTTGAACTGAGATCCAAAGTCATAAGCATCAAAGACGTGGACTTGCTCGGCATCAGTATCACGACGAACAATCTTGTTGTTATTTCTCTTGGCTACTTGACCGGCACCAGCGGCTTGAGTGTAGACATCGAGAGCGTTGTCAATGAATTTGGGAACAACTATAAAAAATATGTGTAAGTTGTTGTGTTATAGAAAGCGTCATCCTATTATGTAGACTTACAATCCTTGATACAGGTAGCATCACTCAATTGAATGATGAAGTTACCGTTTCCTTGCTTTAAGGTGGTGTCCAAGGTAGAGAAGATATCACTGGCAGAGGCAACAGCGGTGACACATGAGATGGCAAAGAGAATAAATGTTTTAGCGACCATTGTTAAGAAAGATTTATTTTCAAAAGAAGGAAAGGGTAGTTGGTTGGGTAAGAAAAGGATAGGGTTGGTTGGATTGAATGAAGAATAAAAAAAAAATTGGGATTGTCAATGGTGCTTATATACGAAAATTCAATACTTTTGATTTGTACTACACGAACACAGTCCTATACAATTACAGTTACTTGGATGTAATATTGGGCCGGTAATTGCCACATTGGTTAATTATGCATAGTGTATCACAGCTTTAACGATTACATGACGCTACTTTTTTTTCTAGGTGTTCCTGACGTACAAGCGCGATCAAGTTTTGAACAAAAATTCCTTAAATGCACATACAGGTGGTTTAAATGTGGAATACTCGTCCATAAAGGCAGATGCGCTTGTACAACTAGCTACATATTATCTCTCCCAAAGACACCCTATTTTATTTTTAAAAGTTTGAAAAAAAAAAGACGCCTACATAAAACATCAAACCATACATGTATTCATTGTCAATATGGTAGACGTTTAATTTTTTGCAGATACGTAATATCAACATTGTATTTTTTGGAAGAGGAAGATTTAAGAAGGTCTATCGGCTACACACGCTTTTAGAATTTATTTTTATATTACAACTTGCATCATTAATTGTGTTTCATTGATCTTTGTGTTCGTTTTGACGTGGTACATTTTATGCTTCAACTTTCATGTGTGGGAACTGAGTCCGAACTATTTTTTTATTACTTATCTTGAGAAACACTCACATCTAAATTTTCTTCCCCATTTTAGGATCGCACTGCAACACTTTAGCTGAGGCCAAAGAGTATGCTCTTTTTCCATTCTTAAAATGGCAATTTCGGATATTTTGGTGGAAAATAATAGAAAGATTACTTAAAACGGTAGCATGTAGAAAAAGAGAGAGCGAGAGATATTTGAATTACCAGACACTACAGAGGTCTAGGCTCTAAATGAAAGGTTAGGATCCATAGCTAGACAAATTGTTATACAAAAAAATATTATCTTAGCAAAACGCATATTTAAAAACGAAAAGTCAACTTGAATGTACCAGCCCTACGGAATATACGGAATATCAATGTTGGTTCTAAATGCCGTAACCAAAATATGCATTGTGTCGCTGGTTCACCCCATCCCTCCTTGTAAAATAATCTAATCATAATAATTTGAGTATAAAAGGGTAGAATTAAAAGACAAGAATAAACAAGTAAAGAAATGAGACTCTTAAATCCTTATTATTATAAATTGAAGAGTTTGTCATGATAAAAATAGAGTTCCTTTTATATTAAACTTAATTTTTGCGTAGATCGAATAAACATTTCCAGAGAACTGGGGATTGTTGGATTTGAACTATAAATCAGTAACAGCTTGAACCATAGCTTGTAAAGTATAATTATATAAGCCTATGGTTGTATGTCCGGAATTAAGGAGATAAATTGTTTATCCATTCAACAATGTGTGCGATAATTGAAATACTTGATTACTCATAGTAGGTGCTGGAAGGAACCGCAGTAAGACAACCAACTGCGATCCAATATAGGGTATATTTTTCAGGTATAATATTGTTAAGGCACTAGCAATAATTTTTAAAGGATAAGGCAGACATAGATTATTAACAATGATGCTAATAATAAAGTAGTTATGAAAGTGAGCACCAGACTGTGGAAGTAGTCAACTTGAGAAATCTTATAATATAAAGTTTACGAATAAAAAGATAATCAACGATAAATTTAAGAGGGCGTAAGCAATATGAATATAAAGTAATTGCCAATATTAAAAAGAAAAGTAATTATGCTATTCTAAACAATATCTTATATACGGTTTGATAATAATGAGATTCAAGTCGAGTGTGAAATATGAATTTTGATTCAACACCGCAAAATCCCAAAGACGGTCAATTTTTGGCAAATAGTTATCCATCACGGATACGGTCATTTTTCAAAAATTCCCGTCTAGGATACAGAATAATCAAAAATTGACCAGATCCGTCACGGATACGGTCAGAATCGTTGTTAACCTTCACCGTAATTTTGCGGTGTAAATATTATATGATAAGTAAAGACTTGAGATAAACAATAAGTATAGATGTTGAGGGAAACACAAAGGAGTCAATTAAAAATCATTAGAAAACTAGATTTTAGTCAAGATATAACTGTTGTTATATTTATTAAAAAAAGTAAGCGTATTAATATGAAATATCCTATCCTGTGTAACACCAAGTCAATTTAGATTGGCTGCAACAACATTATGAGAACTGGTACTGTGTCTGTTATAATCTGTGAAGTGTATAAAAACTCAAGACAGATTAGATTGTAATTGTATTCAGTTTATTTAGTCATCAAATACGATACTAGATGTCCATATAGATATCTTCCGAAAGATGCAAGAGTATTTGAAAGATATGGATCAAGAGCAAGATATCACCTTGAGTTTTACCATCTCGCCAGTATTTATAATAAATCAATTTATGAAGCCCTCAGCAAAATCATACAAAAGCTCATTCGAGAAGTACCAACGCTTGAAAATCTTTTAAGTATGCTAAGGACGGTATGTTTTCTTTCTTTTATATCAAGACGCCATATTGTAACACTTATTGTATTTGGCATCAAAACATTCTCCATTGGAAAAGCCGTACTTGTTTAATACATTGACTAAAATCTATGTTGCAACGGATAGCACGCCTGTGGAAATGAATTCCTGTGAATTATGTTCCGACGTGATTGGTGTCGTATTTTCTATCGAGTTTATTTATGGGTAAATGCGACACTCAAATCCTATCGGCTTTTTCTACCTGTGGAATCTGACCCTAACTTTTATAGACTTCAAAGTGGATGCAGTCCTTATGGGAAAGAAAAGTATGACGAATCGACACTACACGACTTGGATATCGGCTGTTATAATGGAACGGGTCGTGAGAGGGGATATACGCGTCATTCTTTCAGTTCAGAGATAGAAGTATCTAGCATTATTAAATTAAATAATGGGGATGTTTTGTACATGAAGGAAATTAACAGGTAAGACAAGAGATATGTGTGGGGGGATCTCTAATTTTCTATGTATATTGTATTGACCAAAGGTGTGTAGCTTACTAGCGCTAATATATATGATACAAAGTGAAAATTTTAAGAAACTCGGTTTAATTGATTATAATTTTCAATGTTTCACGTCTGCTGTTACCGAATTGTTTAAATTCTTCCAAAATAATCATTAAAAAAAAACAAAAAATTAATGATATGCTCAAAATAACTAAATAAAAAGTTACTCTATTGGTCTTTAATAAAAAGAATTGGTAACAACGGTTTTTTTTCCTTTAATTTTTCAGATGAAAAACTAAAAAAGGGTTTTTTTATTGTTATTAAAAAAAAAATATTTGTTTGATAGATATTTAATATAGAAAGTTAAATTATATCAAATTATTTAGTTGGTGGTTTGAGTTTGACCGTTGAACAAGAGGACGTTAGGGGTACCACTGGAAACAGACTTAACCTTACCGGTGGTGCCAAGAGAGCTGAGCTTGGCATAAACTTGAGCAGGAGAAGGGTTGGATAATGAGTTGATCAAGAGGGCGGCAACACCAGCAACATGAGGAGAGGCCATAGAGGTACCGGAAAGAGTAGCGGTAGAAGAGACACCAGAGATGTAAGAACTGAGAATGCTGGAACCGGGAGCGTAGATTTGAGTACAAGAACCCCAGTTAGAGTAAGAAGCTTGAGTATCGGTCTTATCAGTGGCGGCAACAGCATAGACATTAGGGTTACCGGCAGGCAAAGCTTGACAGGTAGTGAGACCAGCGTTACCAGCAGCAGCAATGAGAGGAATACCACCGTTGACAACGGCAGTGATGGCAGTGTTGAAGGAATCGTAGGTAGGGTTGGTAGCACCGTTGGTATCCAAACCAAGAGACATGTTGATAATGTTCTTACCGACGTGTTTCTTGGCATCATTAGTAACGAATTGGAGACCGGCCAAAATGGCAGAGATAGCACCACTTCCTGTGTCATCGAGAACCTTGACACCAATCAAGTTGGTCTTCTTGGCAACACCATAAGTCTTACCACCAACAATACCACCAACGTGAGTACCGTGACCTGTACCAAGCTTGGTTTGTCCGGTGTAGGCAGAGAAACCCCAGGTAGCACGACCTTCGAATTCGTTGTGAGCAGTGTTCAAACCATCATCAACAATGTAGACGTAAGCAGCGGAACCAGCAGTGGAGTCGTAGATGTAAGGCTTGGTTAAATCAAGACTTCTTTCAGAGATACGGGCCAAATTCCATTGGGCACCGGTTTGAGAGACGTAGGTGGCAGATGCAGTAGCATTGGAAGGAACGCTGACAGCTCTTTTCTCAACAATTTCTTCATCATCATGAGCATGAGGACAGTTGGCATCATGCTTGTAGCTGTCAAAGTGGAAATTACCAGCACGTTGAGCAGTAGCTCTCTTGGCGTGGTATTTGTTGGAACCACGAACAGCAAGGGTGGGTAAATCGAACTTGATATCCATATCAGGGATGATCTTGATGATTTCAGTATCGAAGGTTTCCAGTAAGGCCTTGACGAGATCAAGATCTTCAAACTTGACAGTGATAGCCTTGAACTGAGATCCAAAGTCATAAGCATCAAAGACGTGGACTTGCTCGGCATCAGTATCACGACGAACAATCTTGTTGTTATTTCTCTTGGCTACTTGACCGGCACCAGCGGCTTGAGTGTAGACATCGAGAGCGTTGTCAATGAATTTGGGAACAACTATAAAAAATATGTGTAAGTTGTTGTGTTATAGAAAGCGTCATCCTATTATGTAGACTTACAATCCTTGATACAGGTAGCATCACTCAATTGAATGATGAAGTTACCGTTTCCTTGCTTTAAGGTGGTGTCCAAGGTAGAGAAGATATCACTGGCAGAGGCAACAGCGGTGACACATGAGATGGCAAAGAGGATAAATGTTTTAGCGACCATTGTTAAGAAAGATTTATTTTCAAAAAAAGGAAAGGGTAGTTGGTTGGGTAAGAAAAGGATAGGGTTGGTTGGATTGAATGAAGAATAAAAAAAAAATTGGGATTGTCAATGGTGCTTATATACAAAAGTTCAATACTTTTGATTTGTACTACACGAACACAATCCTTTACAATTACAGTTACTTGGATGTAATATTGGGCCGGTAATTGTCACATTGGTTAATTATGCATAGTGTATCACAGCTTTAGCGATTACATGACGCTACTTTTTTTTTAGGTGTTCCTGACGTACAAGCGCGATCAAGTTTTGAACAAAAATTCCTTAAATGTATATACAGGTGGTTTAAATGTGGAATACTCGTCCATAAAGGCAGATACGCTTGTGCAACCGGCTATATATCTTTTTCACAAAGATACCCTACTTTGTTTTTTAAAGCTTGAAAAGAGAAAAAAAAAAAGAAGCTTATATAAAACATCAAATCATATATTTATTCATTGTCGATATTGCAGACTTTTATTTTTGAAGATATATAATATTCATATTGTAATTTTTGGAAGAAGAAGACTTGAGAAGGTCTATCGGCTGCACACATAATTAAAGTTTTATTTTAATATTACAATTTGTACCATTAATTGCGTTTCATCGATCTTTGTGTTCGTTCTTACGTGGTACATTTTATGCTTCAACTTTCATGTGTGGGACTGAGTCCGAACCACTTTGTTTTTACTTATCTTGAGAAACACACACATCTACATTTTCATCCCCATTTTAGGGTCGTACTATGTCACTTTGGCTTATACCAAATGAGGTCAAAGAGCATGCTCTTTTTCTATTCTTAAAATGGTAATTTCGGATACTTTGGTAGAAAATAATAGAGAAATTAATTAAAGTGGCAGTGGCCAGAAAAAGAGAAAGCGAGAGATATATGAGATACCGGACACTAGGGAGGGCTAAGCTCTAAATAAAAGGGTAGGAGCCATGTCTAGACCAGCAACTGAACAAATTGCTATACAAAAAAAAAAAAAAAAGATATTATCATAAAACACAAAGCACATTCAAAAGCAAAAAATTAACCTGAATGCACCAGCCCTGCGGAATATAAATATTGGTTCTAAATGCAGTTACCAAAAATCCATTGTATCGCTGGTTCACCCATCCCTCCTTGCAAAATGACCTAATCAATACATTTACGGTGGTTTCTCTACATGGTAAATTTTCCAAAATGACATTGTCACTTATCGCTTTATGGTCAAAGTATAAGGTAAATAAAATGTGTCGGAAGCACAAGCGAAGGTGTATTAGGGAATCATAAAGTACAAGAGCCCACAGAACAATCCAGGCTGAAGCAGCAGTATTAGATATGGGGATATTTTGTAACTTATTTCGATACCCTCTATAAAATAAGTCTCTTGAGAAAAGAATGAAACGGCTCGTTTGATTTCCGTTCGAAACATTTCGACCTTTTCTTATGATAAGCGGTCAAGCTCATTGAGATGCCATTAAACACACTACTGGCCCATCATCCTTGTCAAACTTTTTTTAGAACAATATGCTTGTTTTATTATGTAATTAAACTTGACTCGTGCATATCGTTTAGCTGCAATTGCACTCGCAAAGGTATTTTGGGTAAAGCGTAAAAAGGTGACCAGCCTTGGATGTTTTGGTCTCTAGCATATTCTTCTGGGCCTGGAAATCCGGTTGTTGTGACAGCAGGTATTCGGTACAACAGCCAGATTTAGCCTGAGGGTTGTGTGGATTACCACTCACACACGCCCTTCTCAGATGCTCATTTCTGCCGAGCAAGCTACGTTCTCTCAACGGAGCGAGAATTCCCTTGAACTTCTCGCGTTCCTACAGAGATAATAATAATAAATATTGATGTCGGTTCTTTATATATTAATGTTATATTATCAAATTTACTTGATAATGTCGGTATTTTTTGACAGGCGCATTGGTATTATTTACCAGTCTTTATTGTCATTACGTCTTTCGATTTCCTTACGGACGGCTTCCACATTGAAAGATTACATCACGTACATTTCTGGGTTGTGATGATGCCGTTTTTATCTACTCATAGGTGGTATCCCGAAACCTATAATTTGTAGAAATCGTTACTTCGGTAGTCCCGGTATTCATCCTTGAGGAAACAAGAGCATTGTCCGTGAATGCTTTATGGTTCGAGCTCTGGTCAAAGGCAAAGATACTTCGACGGGACATGTCAGCACCAGTCTTGATTGATCCCAAACTGAGTACAACTTGAACCGTGCTTATCGATTTCTTCAGTTACTTAGTATAAAATATTCGTCCTGAGTTTGTAAGGATATTTTTTTAAAGAAACGAAAAAGAAAGAATTTAAAGTGTTTTCTTTACCCTGTACAGCTCATTTTCATCGGGATTTTATGACAACAGGGGTGTATGTAGGTGAATATTATTTTGGGCTGGTTGAAGGAATACTTTATACACTGTTTAGAAAATATAATTTTTTTTTTTTTTTTTTTTTTTTTTGAAAAAAAAAGCATATGGATGAGTAATTCCAGTGCTCCCATTTTCCAACGCATTTTACAGGGCTGGCCAGCCTTTTTCGGTCATAATTTTAATCAGAAACAACATGTACAAAATTATAAGCTTTTGCTAGTTTAAGCGAAAGCAAAATCGCGCTTTGGGGGTTTCTAGAAATATTGTTTAAATTATTTCGCTATTAAATAGGTACGATTTGTGACATTTGGGATTAATGTTTGTATTTCACCTCAGCTTTATTTACGAAATAAAATAGAATACTACCGAAACCGGAGGGATGAGATCCGGCACTATACAAACAAACACGTCCATTCATTTTTGTTCATTATAAGCCAGTCTTTGCTTGGATGCGTTCTAATAAAAGGAGAATTAATTGTAACAGGAAAAACTCACGTAATAAAAAGACGGTGTAGGTAGAAATTGCATCATTAACCATGCTCTATCAAAAACTGATTGTTAGTAAAATGTAGATAAACTACATGAATGATTCCGTTGGATATTTTAACTGTATCATGTCATTTACTCGCCGTTGAAAATCAGGGTTTCGGATTTAATTCATTTCGTTTATCTGTAACCCCCTACAAAAGTATCAGCTAGTTTTCTTCTTTCAGTATTTTATACTATGTCTAAACCTACTTTGTTATTTATTTTATCAGTTACTTCCATTGCATTTGTCAAAGCTGGTATTAACGTCACAAATATCGACGGATGTCCAGCTCTTACCCCCCGCGTATCACCACGTAGCGTGCACGATCTTCGTGTTGATGATATCAAAGTAGTAGGTGCCCTCGGGGATAGGTAAAAATATTTATGAAAAGTGTAGTGCTCCTCATATAACTCATTTTGCCTTACAGCATTACGGCAGGCTTTGGAATTTTGAGTATAGATAAATCTGACCCCTCGCTGGTCAACATGCTCGATGTTTTTAAGGAATATAGAGGACTTAGTTACAGCATCGGTGGCGAAGAAGGTGCTTTTACAATTCCAAATTATGTTAAACACTATCAACCAAATGTAACCGGATATTCTGTTGGAGTTCACCTCGCTGAATCATGTAATGGTAAGTGAGATTTATGTATAATACAGATTATCGTAATAACGAAAAGTGATTAGCGGAGGAGTGCAGTTCGATTTGTAAGTATTCAAAATAAAGCCATTCGATATTTAAAAAAAAATAACAACTGTCATTTCTATCTTACAGATCAGCCTAACCAGGATATGTTAAATGCTGCTCAGAGTGGCGCTGTTGCAAAGAATTTGGACCATGAAGTAAACTATTTGCTTGAGCGTAAGTGAAAAGGGTTTCAATTTTTAATTTTTTTATTTTTTATTTATCAGAATTTCTATCTCGTATAAAGGCATTCGTTCTATTGAAGGTATCGACTTCCAGAATGACTGGAAAATGATAAATATACAAATTGGTAGTAACGATATGTGTGGAGCTTGTAATACCACATTTGTGAACGAGGTTACTCCAGAAAAGTTTGGTAATTACGTAGAAGCTGCGGTCGAGAAAATACAAAAAAATATTCCCAGAGCACTTGTCAATTTGATCGGCACATTTAATGTTTCTCAAATATTTCCCCTTACGTTTAACCAGTCTTATTGTGGATTTACAAGTAATATTAGTTCCCAAACAAATATTCAGGAATGCCCTTGTGCGGCAACTTCCGAAGGCTTAAAGAAGATGACTGAGCTTTCTACAGGTATGAAAGAAACCCAATCATGAAATTTGAATGTCTCCAATATATCTACTTATCACTTTTTATAAATCTTAGCCTACAATAAGGAACTTTTTGCCATTTATGAAAAATACGAAAAAGATAAATCAACCAATTTCACAGTAGTCTATCAGCAGAGCAACCTTAATTTTTCTGGGTTTCCTGTCGATTTTTTCAGGTACACAATTTAAGCACATACTTTTTACAAATACGAAATACAATGCATAACACATTGTAATTTAGTAATTTAGATTGCTTTCACCCTGGAATAAAAGGTCATCAATGGGTATCTAAAATTATCTGGAACCAGCTTTTCTCTCCCCAGGCTCTTAAACCGAAAGTTTTCAACTTTCAAGAAAACGCAACCATCTACTGCCCAGAGGATTCCGATAGGATAGCTACGGATTAAACATTCTACCGTAATACATGCTTATACTATCGCCTATCTATATAAAATTTAGCCTGTGCATATAAATTATAAATTATGTGTACGGTAACATGCGGCTATTTTGGGCGGTATTTCCTTAAGTAGCAGAAACTTTTTTATTGGGCATAGCTAGCAATCTTGAACAACTCCCCTTGCACGATTATGCGTGCTATAGAAAAAGAGGAATGTAGCGTGTCATATGCAATACTGCATATTGCAAGATAAAGGATTTGGAGCTATTATGACACCATATCTCTTCATTGTAACGATCGCTGGATGTGTAACATGGCATTTTGTATTGTGCGCTATTAATGTACGACACTTTAAATGGAATTAGCCTCTATATTTTTTATAGCTTAAAATTAGGTAATATTTTCCTACGGTCTGTAATTATAGAACATCATGCGTTTCCGAATAACCTATTGCTGTTAATAAAATAATATTAACGCGTATTAGTCGTTTGAATGCATATTACACAAATGATCGATTGGTGTATCTTTGGTAACTAAAAAAAACGACGTATTCCTGGTAACTACGTAGGAACGTTATACATGATCAGGTCTCATTTTTAATAAAGTGAGTGCACCTTAAGGACTGCATAATTTCAATTTATTTAGAGTAATCGGAAGGAGAAGTTTTTTGCATAATTTAAGTGGTTAGGTTGAAATACAACATACTATATTTGTATTTTATTTCCCAACTTGTTCATTCATTATAGCATTGCATGTTTCACGTTATTCTATGTATTTCATTTTAGACGCATTTTTCTTCTTGTTTTTCTTTTAGAGGATCCAGGGATTCCTTTTTTAGGAAGGTAAAACGCATGCTTATTGTCTTGAAATAGCATAAGCCACTACATGTTGGTGCGACCATAAAATAATGTTAAGCCTGTGTCCAAAGGTAAGTAAAGTAAATTTAGAACTCCAATTGCTGCAAATTAATTTTAGAGCATTTTATTTTTTTGCAACCGAGAAAGGAGCACAAACGATCGATGAAGTCGCAATCAATGCCACATCTTGTGATATTAAAGCTCTGTTTAATAATTCTGTATTTATTTCAAACGGTTTTTAGTCAAGCAATATTATGCATAAATGTTTGTTAAAAAAAATATAAATCTGTTTCTTCAGCAACAAAAATCAAGTGAGTATGAAACGCTAGAAAAGCAAACTTCAAACATTTAACTCATATACTTTACTGGACCCAAATCTTTGGTTCCACAGAGTTGATCTCAAAAGTGATCAAGATCCTCACACATAAACCACCTGTCCTTACATTTAAGGAATTTCGATCAATGCTTGTGCAACTGGAGTACCGAGAAAATTAATAATAACAAAAAAAGGGCATGCAATCCCATAAGTTGTAATACCTTTCGCAAAGTAAAACATTGTGATGATTTGTACACTTTTTATCAAAGTAAACGTAAGTGTATAGGGCTGTTCTATTGTAGTACAAATCAAAAGTATTGAATTTTTGTATATAAGCACCATTGACAATCCCAATTTTTTTTTTATTCTTCATTCAATCCAACCAACCCTATCCTTTTCTTACCCAACCAACTACCCTTTCCTTTTTTTGAAAATAAATCTTTCTTAACAATGGTCGCTAAAACATTTATCCTCTTTGCCATCTCATGTGTCACCGCTGTTGCCTCTGCCAGTGATATCTTCTCTACCTTGGACACCACCTTAAAGCAAGGAAACGGTAACTTCATCATTCAATTGAGTGATGCTACCTGTATCAAGGATTGTAAGTCTACATAATAGGATGACGCTTTCTATAACACAACAACTTACACATATTTTTTATAGTTGTTCCCAAATTCATTGACAACGCTCTCGATGTCTACACTCAAGCCGCTGGTGCCGGTCAAGTAGCCAAGAGAAATAACAACAAGATTGTTCGTCGTGATACTGATGCCGAGCAAGTCCACGTCTTTGATGCTTATGACTTTGGATCTCAGTTCAAGGCTATCACTGTCAAGTTTGAAGATCTTGATCTCGTCAAGGCCTTACTGGAAACCTTCGATACTGAAATCATCAAGATCATCCCTGATATGGATATCAAGTTCGATTTACCCACCCTTGCTGTTCGTGGTTCCAACAAATACCACGCCAAGAGAGCTACTGCTCAACGTGCTGGTAATTTCCACTTTGACAGCTACAAGCATGATGCCAACTGTCCTCATGCTCATGATGATGAAGAAATTGTTGAGAAAAGAGCTGTCAGCGTTCCTTCCAATGCTACTGCATCTGCCACCTACGTCTCTCAAACCGGTGCCCAATGGAATTTGGCCCGTATCTCTGAAAGAAGTCTTGATTTAACCAAGCCTTACATCTACGACTCCACTGCTGGTTCCGCTGCTTACGTCTACATTGTTGACGATGGTTTGAACACTGCTCACAACGAATTCGAAGGTCGTGCTACCTGGGGTTTCTCTGCCTACACCGGTCTTACCAAGCTCGGTACAGGTCACGGTACTCACGTTGGTGGTATTGTTGGTGGTAAGACTTATGGTGTTGCCAAGAAGACCAACTTAATTGGTGTCAAGGTTCTCGATGACACAGGAAGTGGTGCTATCTCTGCCATTTTGGCCGGTCTCCAATTCGTTACTGATGATGCCAAGAAGCATGTCGGTAAGAACATTATCAACATGTCTCTTGGTTTGGATACCAACGGTGCTACCAACCCTACCTACGATTCCTTCAACACTGCCATCACTGCCGTTGTTAACGGTGGTATTCCTGTCATTGCTGCTGCTGGTAACGCTGGTCTTGCTACCTGTCAAGCTTTGCCTGCCGGTAACCCTAATGTCTATGCTGTTGCCGCCACTGATAAGACCGATAAACAAGCTTCTTACTCTAACTGGGGTTCTTGTACTCAAATCTACGCTCCCGGTTCCAGCATTCTCAGTTCTTACATCTCTGGTGTCTCCTCTACCGCTACTCTTTCCGGTACCTCTATGGCCTCTCCTCATGTTGCTGGTGTTGCCGCCCTCTTGATCGACTCATTATCCAACCCTTCTCCTGCTCAAGTTTATGCCAAGCTCAGCTCTCTTGGCACCACCGGTAAGGTTAAGTCTGTTTCCAGTGGTACCCCTAACGTCCTCTTGTTCAACGGTCAAACTCAAACCACCAACTAAATAATTTGATATAATTTAACTTTCTATATTAAATATCTATCAAACAAATATTTTTTTTTTAATAACAATAAAAAAACCCTTTTTTAGTTTTTCATCTGAAAAATTAAAGGAAAAAAAACCGTTGTTACCAATTCTTTTTATTAAAGACCAATAGAGTAACTTTTTATTTAGTTATTTTGAGCATATCATTAATTTTTTGTTTTTTTTTTAATGATTATTTTGGAAGAATTTAAACAATTCGGTAACAGCAGACGTGAAACATTGAAAATTATAATCAATTAAACCGAGTTTCTTAAAATTTTCACTTTGTATCATATATATTAGCGCTAGTAAGCTACACACCTTTGGTCAATACAATATACATAGAAAATTAGAGATCCCCCCACACATATCTCTTGTCTTACCTGTTAATTTCCTTCATGTACAAAACATCCCCATTATTTAATTTAATAATGCTAGATACTTCTATCTCTGAACTGAAAGAATGACGCGTATATCCCCTCTCACGACCCGTTCCATTATAACAGCCGATATCCAAGTCGTGTAGTGTCGATTCGTCATACTTTTCTTTCCCATAAGGACTGCATCCACTTTGAAGTCTATAAAAGTTAGGGTCAGATTCCACAGGTAGAAAAAGCCGATAGGATTTGAGTGTCGCATTTACCCATAAATAAACTCGATAGAAAATACGACACCAATCACGTCGGAACATAATTCACAGGAATTCATTTCCACAGGCGTGCTATCCGTTGCAACATAGATTTTAGTCAATGTATTAAACAAGTACGGCTTTTCCAATGGAGAATGTTTTGATGCCAAATACAATAAGTGTTACAATATGGCGTCTTGATATAAAAGAAAGAAAACATACCGTCCTTAGCATACTTAAAAGATTTTCAAGCGTTGGTACTTCTCGAATGAGCTTTTGTATGATTTTGCTGAGGGCTTCATAAATTGATTTATTATAAATACTGGCGAGATGGTAAAACTCAAGGTGATATCTTGCTCTTGATCCATATCTTTCAAATACTCTTGCATCTTTCGGAAGATATCTATATGGACATCTAGTATCGTATTTGATGACTAAATAAACTGAATACAATTACAATCTAATCTGTCTTGAGTTTTTATACACTTCACAGATTATAACAGACACAGTACCAGTTCTCATAATGTTGTTGCAGCCAATCTAAATTGACTTGGTGTTACACAGGATAGGATATTTCATATTAATACGCTTACTTTTTTTAATAAATATAACAACAGTTATATCTTGACTAAAATCTAGTTTTCTAATGATTTTTAATTGACTCCTTTGTGTTTCCCTCAACATCTATACTTATTGTTTATCTCAAGTCTTTACTTATCATATAATATTTACACCGCAAAATTACGGTGAAGGTTAACAACGATTCTGACCGTATCCGTGACGGATCTGGTCAATTTTTGATTATTCTGTATCCTAGACGGGAATTTTTGAAAAATGACCGTATCCGTGATGGATAACTATTTGCCAAAAATTGACCGTCTTTGGGATTTTGCGGTGTTGAATCAAAATTCATATTTCACACTCGACTTGAATCTCATTATTATCAAACCGTATATAAGATATTGTTTAGAATAGCATAATTACTTTTCTTTTTAATATTGGCAATTACTTTATATTCATATTGCTTACGCCCTCTTAAATTTATCGTTGATTATCTTTTTATTCGTAAACTTTATATTATAAGATTTCTCAAGTTGACTACTTCCACAGTCTGGTGCTCACTTTCATAACTACTTTATTATTAGCATCATTGTTAATAATCTATGTCTGCCTTATCCTTTAAAAATTATTGCTAGTGCCTTAACAATATTATACCTGAAAAATATACCCTATATTGGATCGCAGTTGGTTGTCTTACTGCGGTTCCTTCCAGCACCTACTATGAGTAATCAAGTATTTCAATTATCGCACACATTGTTGAATGGATAAACAATTTATCTCCTTAATTCCGGACATACAACCATAGGCTTATATAATTATACTTTACAAGCTATGGTTCAAGCTGTTACTGATTTATAGTTCAAATCCAACAATCCCCAGTTCTCTGGAAATGTTTATTCGATCTACGCAAAAATTAAGTTTAATATAAAAGGAACTCTATTTTTATCATGACAAACTCTTCAATTTATAATAATAAGGATTTAAGAGTCTCATTTCTTTACTTGTTTATTCTTGTCTTTTAATTCTACCCTTTTATACTCAAATTATTATGATTAGATTATTTTACAAGGAGGGATGGGGTGAACCAGCGACACAATGCATATTTTGGTTACGGCATTTAGAACCAACATTGATATTCCGTATATTCCGTAGGGCTGGTACATTCAAGTTGACTTTTCGTTTTTAAATATGCGTTTTGCTAAGATAATATTTTTTTGTATAACAATTTGTCTAGCTATGGATCCTAACCTTTCATTTAGAGCCTAGACCTCTGTAGTGTCTGGTAATTCAAATATCTCTCGCTCTCTCTTTTTCTACATGCTACCGTTTTAAGTAATCTTTCTATTATTTTCCACCAAAATATCCGAAATTGCCATTTTAAGAATGGAAAAAGAGCATACTCTTTGGCCTCAGCTAAAGTGTTGCAGTGCGATCCTAAAATGGGGAAGAAAATTTAGATGTGAGTGTTTCTCAAGATAAGTAATAAAAAAATAGTTCGGACTCAGTTCCCACACATGAAAGTTGAAGCATAAAATGTACCACGTCAAAACGAACACAAAGATCAATGAAACACAATTAATGATGCAAGTTGTAATATAAAAATAAATTCTAAAAGCGTGTGTAGCCGATAGACCTTCTTAAATCTTCCTCTTCCAAAAAATACAATGTTGATATTACGTATCTGCAAAAAATTAAACGTCTACCATATTGACAATGAATACATGTATGGTTTGATGTTTTATGTAGGCGTCTTTTTTTTTTCAAACTTTTAAAAATAAAATAGGGTGTCTTTGGGAGAGATAATATGTAGCTAGTTGTACAAGCGCATCTGCCTTTATGGACGAGTATTCCACATTTAAACCACCTGTATGTGCATTTAAGGAATTTTTGTTCAAAACTTGATCGCGCTTGTACGTCAGGAACACCTAGAAAAAAAAGTAGCGTCATGTAATCGTTAAAGCTGTGATACACTATGCATAATTAACCAATGTGGCAATTACCGGCCCAATATTACATCCAAGTAACTGTAATTGTATAGGACTGTGTTCGTGTAGTACAAATCAAAAGTATTGAATTTTCGTATATAAGCACCATTGACAATCCCAATTTTTTTTTATTCTTCATTCAATCCAACCAACCCTATCCTTTTCTTACCCAACCAACTACCCTTTCCTTTTTTTGAAAATAAATCTTTCTTAACAATGGTCGCTAAAACATTTATTCTCTTTGCCATCTCATGTGTCACCGCTGTTGCCTCTGCCAGTGATATCTTCTCTACCTTGGACACCACCTTAAAGCAAGGAAACGGTAACTTCATCATTCAATTGAGTGATGCTACCTGTATCAAGGATTGTAAGTCTACATAATAGGATGACGTTTTCTATAACACAACAACTTACACATATTTTTTATAGTTGTTCCCAAATTCATTGACAACGCTCTCGATGTCTACACTCAAGCCGCTGGTGCCGGTCAAGTAGCCAAGAGAAATAACAACAAGATTGTTCGTCGTGATACTGATGCCGAGCAAGTCCACGTCTTTGATGCTTATGACTTTGGATCTCAGTTCAAGGCTATCACTGTCAAGTTTGAAGATCTTGATCTCGTCAAAGCCTTACTGGAAACCTTCGATACTGAAATCATCAAGATCATCCCTGATATGGATATCAAGTTTGATTTACCCACCCCTGGTGTCCGTGGTTCCAACAAATTCCACGCCAAGAGAGCTACTGCTCAACGTGCTGGTAACTTCCACTTTGACAGCTACAAGCATGATGCCAACTGTCCTCATGCTCATGATGAAGAAGAAATTGTTGAGAAAAGAGCTGTCAGCGTTCCTTCCAATGCTACTGCATCTGCCACCTACGTCTCTCAAACCGGTGCTCAATGGAATTTGGCCCGTATCTCTGAAAGAAGTCTTGATTTAACCAAGCCTTACATCTACGACTCTACTGCTGGTTCCGCTGCTTACGTCTACATTGTTGATGATGGTTTGAACACTGCTCACAACGAATTCGAAGGTCGTGCTACCTGGGGTTTCTCTGCCTATACCGGACAAACCAAGCTTGGTACAGGTCACGGTACTCATGTTGGTGGTATTGTTGGTGGTAAGACTTATGGTGTTGCCAAGAAGACCAACTTGATTGGTGTCAAGGTTCTCGATGACACAGGAAGTGGTGCTATCTCTGCCATTTTGGCCGGTCTCCAATTCGTTACTAATGATGCCAAGAAACACGTCGGTAAGAACATTATCAACATGTCTCTTGGTTTGGATACCAACGGTGCCACCAACCCTACCTACGATTCATTCAACACTGCCATCACTGCCGTTGTCAACGGTGGTATTCCTCTCATTGCTGCTGCTGGTAACGCTGGTCTCACTACCTGTCAAGCTTTGCCTGCCGGTAACCCTAATGTCTATGCTGTTGCCGCCACTGATAAGACCGATACTCAAGCTTCTTACTCTAACTGGGGTTCTTGTACTCAAATCTACGCTCCCGGTTCCAGCATTCTCAGTTCTTACATCTCTGGTGTCTCCTCTACCGCTACTCTTTCCGGTACCTCTATGGCCTCTCCTCATGTTGCTGGTGTTGCCGCCCTCTTGATCAACTCATTATCCAACCCTTCTCCTGCTCAAGTTTATGCCAAGCTCAGCTCTCTTGGTACCACCGGTAAGGTTAAGTCTGTTTCCAGCGGTACCCCCAACGTCCTCTTGTTCAACGGTCAAACTCAAACCACCAACTAAATCATTTGATATAATTTAACATTCTATATTAAATATCTATCAAACAAATATTTTTTTTTAATAACAATAAAAAACCCTTTTTTAGTTTTTCATCTGAAAAATTAAAGGAAAAAAAAAAATACCGTTGTTACCAATTCTTTTAATTAAAGAGCAATAGAGTAATTTTTTATTTAGTTATTTTGAGCATGTTATGAGATTTTTTGTTAATGATTATTTTGGAGATTTTTCTTTTGTGAGAATTTAAACAGTTCGGTAACAGCAGACGTGAAACACTGAAAATTATAATCAATTAAACCGTGTTTCTTGAAATTGTCACCTCGAATCATACATATCAGCGCTAGTAAGCTACACACCTTTGGTAAATATACATAAAGAAATAAAGCTTCCTCCTCCACTCACATTTATGTTTCTTACCTATTAATTTCCTTCATGTATAACACATCCCCATTATTCAATTTAATAATACTGGATGCCTCTATGTCTGAACTGAAAGAATGACACGTTTCTCCTTCCTCACGACTCGTTCCATTATGACAGCCAATTTCCAAGTCGTGTAGGGTCGATTCGTCATACGTTTCTTTCCCATAAGGACCGCATCCACTTTGAGGTCTTTTAAAAAGTGAGAGTCAGAATCCACATTGAAACAGGTACGATGTCTATAATATAATAGTTACCCATAGATACACTCAATATCGAGTACGACATCAATCATGTCAGAGCATAATTCATAAGAGTCCATTTCCACTGGGGTGCTGTCCGTTGCAATATAAATTTTAGTCAATGTATCAAATAAATACGCCTTTTCCAATCCGGAATTCTTGAAAAATAAAAAAGAAAGTTACAACATGTCGTCTTGATATAATAGAAAAAAGAAAACTTACAGTCCTTAGTACATTCAAAAGATTTTCTAGTGTGGGTAATTCTCGAATGAGCTTTTGAATAATTTTGCTGAAGGCTTCATAGATTGAATTATCGTAAATACTGGTGAGATGATAAAGCAAGGTGATATTTTGCTCTTGATCCATATCTTTCAAATACTCTTGCATCTTTCGGACGATATCAATCTTGACATCTAACATGCTCGTCATGATGAGTATAACTCTTTCCTTCTATTTCCCATGCCTTTTTATCAAAACATACACAAAACCAGTTTTTACCATCTTTATAATCATCGGAGAGTCCATCCACTTTATGGATCAAAATCTCAAACGTGATACTGGGATTAACCTCGTAGGCCTTGATAATCGTGTACTGCAACCGATGTAAAGCGTACGAATAATCATCTTGTGCATCAATCACAAACACCAAAGATCCCACCGTATCAAAAATCTCTTTGGCATCATACGCTGATCCATCAAAGAAATCCACCTGTCCCGGAAAATCCCAAATTTGAAAATCGATAAACGACCGCCTACATAAACCATTGAAAATATAAGTATCCCCCTGTCCCAGCAGATAAAAAGAAAGTACTTGCGTTACATCTTCTTTTTGAATTTTAACCGTTTGCTCTAAAAGTATCGTATCTTGCGGTGGCATCTTACCAAATACCACTCTTTGTATACTAGATTTGCCACTCCTTTTTTTTTATTGTTGTTGTACACACATACAAAAAAGTCATGAGTCATGGGGGGTCTGTGTGTGTACACCCTTTTTTTTTTTTTTTACCTTGGTAATCCCATCAGTAATATACGCGGTTTATCCACAGGTGATCCAACCATGATTTGATTCGTAATCGTCGGTCCACTGAAATCACCGTCGTATTCAATAAAAAATCTCTTTTTTCTCTTGCCAGTCCCCCACTTACTTTGTTTCTGTTTCAAACGGAGCATACATGTAGTGTTCCTGCTGCTACATGAAATAGTTCATTAACATGCTTTAGAAATGAAAAAAAAAAACCCTAATGACTTACATTCATTCTCCCACAAAAAAAAAAAAAAAAAAAACTGATAACAAAACGAAAGAAGAGTGCTCACAACGCACGATCCCCTTTCCCCCGAGTTTCTTTATTCTATTGTTTAACATATGACCTATGTATGTGTGTAACTCTGGATGTTTTTGTTTTGCATTTCAGGGCGGAAGATGAAATAATTAAGGGCGCCTACCCTCTCGGGGCGGATGAGGGGACGGCATTTGAGATCTCTCTTATGGGATATTACTCCATGAAACGAATGGCCTACAATAGCGATATTACCTGGTAAATACAAACAAAAAACAGGGAACAAGAGGCCCTTTTTTACCAGAATCATCTTCTAATACGGTAGAAATACTTGATGATGGTTGGGCAGGCTTTGTAACAGTCAGAATTTTAAGATAAAAAAGCTCTCTCTCTCTCTCTCTCTCTTTTTCTTCTACGGGTCTGGAGAAGAGTTTCTTTTAGCGTAAGCCTTTAAATTGCTCTAGTTAGTGATCCTTCGAACAGCTGATCTTGTGTGCATGAAAATTATATAGGTTAGGTGGGAGAAAGCGCGGTAAGAGCAATTGAAAGACTCTTTATTTTTTTTGGGACTAGTCTTACTTTTTACCTTCTTGTTGGTTAGTCCTGTCAGTATCACAACGTCTTCATTTTAGGAAGTTAAAAAAAAGTACAACAACTAAAATAAAAGCCGCTATTCACTTCAAATGAAAGTTCTTATTATTATACTATGGTGCGAGAACATGGAGCATTATTACTCTTTCATTGAGATGCAAGCGACGAATGATTCCGCAAGGCAAACCCTTTCATCACACCTTGTTTTGTATTAAAAAAAAAAAAACGCGCTCATGACACTTGCTGCTTCTAGTTTTCAAATGAGACCACAACTCATTTCACTGATTTCGAATAAGGCACTAAAGCTGGGCTTTTTTTAGAGCTTTTGATTCTCTCGTTCAGTTCACTGCAAACTGTTTTTTGACTTTACAAAAGAAATCATTCTCGTAGTGAAATTGTCCCAGTTTGGTGCAAAAGTAATCTTTTGGCCACTCCCTGCCTTTTGTGATAGTGATCAATTGTATTACTTGGCTGTTAGACAAAGTCTGCTTAAAGATGCTGAAGGGTCGTTGTTGCATCTCCATAGTTTTTTTGTTCTTTCGCCCAAATGCCTAAGTTTGAGCAAACAAAATCCTGCCAAACTTCAAGTTAAATATCACTCTTTTGAGTTGATCCTAAAGATGTATGTCTCCATTTTTTCCCCAATGATCTAAAGTACAGCCCAAAAACGTTACAGAAGAGCTCGGTTATGCAATCGGACTGGAGAGACTGCGACAATCGGGGATCCAAAAGAGATCAAATAAAGACAAATAAAAAAAAAAAAAAACTTTTTGATCTTGAGATCTCTATTTGACAAGCTCTTTTATAACACAATGGGATTCGGAAGAAAGAAGCGTGGAGCCTACAAGAATAAGCCCAAGGTAAACTTTTCAAACAAAATGGTGCCCCCCTTCCAAAAAAAAAAAAAAAAAAAAACTGACATTCCCTTTTTTTTTTTTTTTAGACTGACGAAAAGGTCGAGGAAGAAAAGAAGCAAAAGTACTTTGATGAACGTAAGCCTTATGCTGAAATCGAAAAGGACAATCTCGATTTCAAAAACTATTACATGGTACGACTACCCAAACAATTTTTTTTTTTAAAAAAAAACACATCGTCTAAATCGTAAACATCACACAGAAACAAGGCATTTTGTCTCCTGAAGAATTCGAAGAGTTTTACAAATTTATCAAGACAATTTTACCCAGTACTTTCCGTATCACTGGCAGCAGAACGTAAGTAGATTAGATTTAGTATTGTTATAAAAGCGTACAGGCGGTTGATTGAAAAAAAAAAAAAAATACCTTGTCCCCAAAATCTATATAGAACTGCTATGGAGATCTTGGAAGTTGTCGAAAAAGTTTATGTACCCAGTATGCAAAACGTCGTGATCGATGGCCATCGCATTGAACCCCCTAAGCCTTTACCTTGGTATCCCGATAATTTGGGTTGGAGAGTCAATGCTCCTCGTCTTGTCATCAAGAAGTCGCCCGAGTTCCAAAAGTTCCACAAGTTTATGGTCACAGAGACCGAAGCCGTAAGTTCAAATAAAACGGAGAGAGAGAGAGAGAGAGAAATATAGAACAAATATTCAATTTTTGTTGTTGTTATGATGCTAGGGTAACATCAGTCGACAAGAGGCAGTCAGTATGGTACCTCCTCTTCTTATGGATATTAAACCTGACCAATGGGTCCTTGATATGTGTGCCGCTCCTGGTTCCAAGACTGCTCAAATCATTGAAGCCGTTGACTCTAGTAACAAGTTGAACGAGATGCCTACTGGTCTTGTGGTAGCTAATGATGCCGATTACAAGCGTAGTCATATGTTGGTTCATCAATCCAAGCGTTTACAATCCCCTTGTTTCATGGCCACTAACCACGACGGTGCTCATTTCCCCAATATCCATGTCCCCCGTGACGACACACCCGAGGGATCCTTTGAGTTGTCATGGCAATTTGATCGTGTTCTTTGTGACGTCCCCTGTAGTGGTGATGGTACCATCCGTAAGAACGAAAAGATTTGGGACACATGGACTCCCGCTGGAGGTCTTCAACTTCATAACACCCAAGTTCAAATCTTTGCCAGAGGTTGTCAATTGGTCAAGGTCGGTGGTCGTATCGTGTACTCCACTTGCTCCTTCAACCCTATCGAGAACGAAGCTGTTGTGGCCGAAGTCTTGCGTCAAACCAAGGGTGCTATTCGTCTCCTCGATGTCTCAGCCGAACTCCCTGAATTAAAGCGTAAACCAGGTCTTCACACCTGGAAAGTCACCAATAAGGAAGGCGTCTTTTTGGATTCACCCGAGAGTATCCCCGAAGAACGTCAACGTCGTAAGTTCCCTGTCAGTGTATTCCCTCCTACCGAGAAGGAAGTTGAGGAAATGCATCTTGATCGTTGTATTCGTATCTACCCTCATCAACAAGATACCGGTGGTTTCTTTGTGGCCGTCTTTGAAAAGGTCGCACCTTTAACCGCTACAGATCGTGTGAGTCTTGCTAGAATGCAAGGTAAAGCCATTGCCGAATCTGATATGGAGGCTGCTAAAAAAGAGTTAGAGGATGCTAAAAAGGAGGCCGAAATCATTGAATCAGAGATGACAATAGAGGAAGAGACTGTCTCCCCTCCTGCCAAACGTGCTAGTGTGGATAGTGGTACTGAAGTAGCACCCAAGAAGGCCAAGAAGGAGGAAGAGGAAGAGGAAAAGAAGGAGAAGGAAGGCGAGGAGAAGAAATTATTCGAAGGTAAACCTAAACGTGATGTCCCCGGTATCAAGGAAGCCCCCTTTGAAATGATGCCTTCCAACTCTGCGGATTTAGAAGAAATCACCGACTTTTACGGTCTCGATCCCAAATTCCCTCGTGATCAATTCTTGTTGCGTTCGGAAGGTACTGCCAAGGGTCGTAGTCTTTACTTTGTCTCTAGCTCTATCAAGAAAGTCCTCGAATCCAAAGATTTCGCTCGTCTTCAGACCGTCAATACGGGTGTACGTCTTTTCGTCAGACAATCCACTGCTCTTCCCGAAAAGGGTTGTCCCTTCCGTTTGACTTCCGAAGGTTTACCCTTATTAGATACTGTCATGACTGATAAACGTCGTATCTATGTCAACCTGGAAGCTCTCAAGACTTTACTCGTAGAGGCCTTCCCTATCATGGAACAATTCCCTCAAGACGTACAGGCTCAAGTGGATGCTATCGAGATGGGTTGCTGTATCGTACACCTCAAGGAAGAGGATCAAAAGGCATGTCAGATGACCGTTCCCATCGTGCTTCCCGTCTGGAAGGGTAAAAACTCGTTAAATGTCTTGTTGAACAAGAAGGATAAACGCTCCCTGTCTCAACGTATCTTTGGTATTATCCCCGAAGCTACCCCTGATCATCTCGTCCAGAGATCCACTGAAAACCAAGAATTACGTCAAGAAGCAGATAGAAAGGCTGCCTTGATGGAAATCGAACAGCAAAAATAGGATCACATCAAAAACAAAATAATAGGATGTATTTTTTTTTTTTTTTTTTTATAAATAGCAGTAAATAATAATTTTTTTTATAAAAAAAAAAAAAAAAAAAGAAAAAAAAATAATAAACAACAAAACAAAACAATAAAAAAAAAACCACTTTATAATACATTGGTACTTGAATAATCTTCCATGTCTCTTACTCCTAAGCTTACTCCTAATCCTCCTGCATCGTATCGTGGTGGAGAGCCAACTAATGTGGCAGCTAAACCACCATCGGATGATGATATTTGACGTTGAAAAAACAAGGAAGGTCGAATTAAAGAAGGAGATGAAGACTTTTTTTTTTAAAAAAAGAAAAGATGAGCGTTAATAAAAACTAGTGTATTTTTTTTTTTTTTTTTTTTTTCAAAAATCGGTTGCTTCATTCACCTCTTGTTGAAGGGCTTCTTCGTCCAACACCGTCTTTTCACGATGATGACCACCGTTTGTATGTGAGGCGATTAATGGGCTGTTGTCTTCCTCCTCCTCTTCTTCTTCTTCTGACGTCGTATTATTATTATTATTATTGTTGTTATTTGTAGAAGGAGAAGGCTCGGTAGTGGAGAGACCTAACATCTGCAAGACCTCATTTTCCTCTACAGCCACACTGGCTTCTAGATTGGAGTAAGTTCTACATAGCGGACACGAGAATCCAGGGTAATTTTGGGTTAATAAGGGTCGTAAGCACCTGTAATGATAGATATGAGAACAAGGAGCAATGAATAAGGCTTGAAAAGGTGCAATGCAGTATAAACAAATACAACATTCTTGGATTTCTTCTCTGCTATTGTTGTTGTTAGTGTTGCCAGTGCTAGTGTTATTGATCTGATGCTTGAGTTGTTGAAATGCGGCAAGACTATAGGTATTCGAACAGGATTCTTGCCACTCACGACGGTTCACTTCCAAACGCATCCTAACAGCCCGGTACATGGGTTCCAGACCGCCTTTGTAATCAACACCCAACTGAATAAGATCTCCGTCTACTACCGGGTGAGGTCTAGCACTCTCTGTATTGGCTGCAGTCAGTCGGATATGATTCACAAATGTACCACTAGAAGATCCTGAATCCTTGATGTATATCTGCATTGCATCTTGTTAGTACACACACACACACACACACACACACACACACACACACACACACACACACACCACCCTTTTTTTTTAAAATCTCTTTCTTACCTTGCCGTCTTCTTCTGATAACCAGATCTCTGCATGATATCGACTCACTACTTTACTTTTAAAAGACAGTCGGTCCGAAACAATGGTTCGGTCAGAATATCGGCCCAATTTGAGCCCTGACCCCATCTCCAGTTCACGATCCACCACATCAAACACAAAGCATCGGTTCGTCATACCCACGTTAGGTACCAACTTGATATGCACCTTTTGTCCACTACTACTTGTGGCTGCTTCCCCAACAACAGGAGAAGGAGAAGGGATAGGTTCATTGACTGGGGTTGTAGCGAGTGGAGATGTATTGGTGGTAGTATTAGGTCTTCGTAGACTAGTAAATCTTCTACTGATTTCATGAGTTGTTGAGCCAGAAGAAGGTAAATGTAAACTTCGAAGGCGTCTTGTTGTTGTTGTTGTTGTTGTGGTACGTTGTGATGTTGTATCTGCTATATCTTCCATTATAAGAATGTCATAAAGCAGCATAAAAAGAAAGAAAGGATATGAAAAAAAAAAAGGGAAAAATAAAATAAAATAGAAATATAAGAAAAATAGTTGGATTTTTTCCATCAACCCCCTTTATTTTACTCCCTCTTTTTTTTTTTTTTTTTTTTTATTTATAATTGTATCATTGGTCAGAAACCTAATCATGTTATATATGTAAGTTGACAGTCCATACACTCTATATATAAAAAAAAACTTACCGTATTTAGTAGACGCTTCACGTCGTGTCTTTTTATGCGCTGCAAACATTTCATCCAATTTCTCTTGATTGTTTACTGCATGCGCTGCTAACGCCATGATATTATTCTTCTTCATTTGTAATTTACTCGCTGACATCTAAGTGATAACATTTTTTTTTTTTATATCAGTATCCCATTCGTTCCCTTTTATGTCATTAGTTTCAGGTACGAACCGTCATTCCGTTATTAAATTTCGGTGCAGCCGTGAGTGCTTGTTGTTCTCTCCATTCTTTTGTTGGTAACATGTCCCTTTGATGAATCGTCTTGATTTGAATATTTGATTCTCCTCGTAGACGTTTACCCACCATACGTTGTAACTAAAAAACCTTCAATGTTTAGTCTCTCTCTTTTTTTTTTTTTTTTCTCATTGTCATCCCCATCTCTTCTTACATCTTGACCATCTTCCAAATCACCCACATGGTCGCTTTCCTCCAGCTGTTGTTGTTGTTGATATTGGTAATACGTGGAGGGATCAGCAGAATACATGGCATTAGGGTCGTATGCATATGCATCGACTGCTGCAAACTGAGGTTCTTCTACTGCAGGTGCTCTTTCAACCGAATACAACGGTCCAGGTGTCGCTTGCACTGGTTTCGCGGTAGGTGTCGTTCTTTCTTCCTTCAAATCTTTACCTATTTGCATAACACGAGTCAATAAACGTTTGAACCGCATACTCTAAACATCTTTCTTACCAAAATGAAAGAATGACTTTTTTGGAGCATAGTCTACCACCTCTTCCTCTTCCTCCTCCTCTTCTTCTTCTTCTTGTTCTACTGGTTGTTCTGTTGGCTCAGGACTGACTCTCTTCTCTTTGCCTTTTGACTTTTTCGGCAATGCGGGTGAAAATGTACTTTTTTGACTGCCATGCTTTGGCGCTGGTAATAAATCGGCTAACCCTAACCCGCTGCTTGATTTCTGAGGTGGGTTGGACGTCCCTTCTGTGGTGTCGTCGTCATCTAATTTTGGTAAAGCGATATGAATTGTTTTTGCCTTTTTAGGTGCTGGTAAAAGTCCTGATAAGGATCGTTTGGGTGGTGGTGTGTGAACGACAACTTCGGATTCAGAGTCTGAACTACTACTGCTATAATCTGGTACCAACATTTTTTTTTAAAAAAAAAGAGAGAGAGAGAGAGAGAAAGAGAGAGGTTATTTGAATCTCCCCTTGCTGCTGTAAACTGCCAAAAAAAAAAAAAAAAAAGCTTGTGACGGTTTTCAGTCACAAAAAATCTCTGCCCAAAAGCCCTTTTCTTTTTTTTTTTTTTTTTCATCATTTTTTTTTTTTTGCTAGTTCTTTGTCGAATCTATAAAAGATCTACAAGTCTAGTAATTTTTTTCTCTCTCACCCATCGATTGGCTTAATTTTAAATAACAACTTAAAAAAGAAACCAAGAGTCTCGATCTGATGCCTTCCACCACCACAAAAACAGCCATGGCAACAACGGACACAAAGCATGTCGCACCTAACCACATGGTTCTCGCAAAGAAAGCCGGTGGTAATATCTCGGCTTATCCTGCTGAATTCACCAAAGATTCCAAGTAAGTTTTTTTTTTATTCTTCTTCTTCTCCCCGAAGCCAGTCCCCCCCTCACACACCTTTTGGATGTCACTAACTCCTCCTTAAAAGATATTTCTTTTCGTCTGTAGGACCTTGTGTCAAAATTTTCAGTATGGCAACCGGTGCTGTTGTCAAAGTCCTGTCACAATCACCTACCACAGGAGGCCACACCAATAAAATCACACGCGTCATTCTCAACCCTAAAAACCACCTTCAGCTTTATACTGCCAGTTTAGACGGAACCATCAAATTATGGGATTACAATGACGATATTTTATTAAAGACCTATAATGTCAATGCACCTATTCAGTTTATGGTCATGTCACCCGAACAACCGGGTCATGCCTATCTTGTCGTGGATGCCACAGAGGCAGGAGCAGGTAATTTATAAAAAGAGAGAGAGAGAAAGAGAGAAAGAGAGGGTATTTTATACCGTAGGAATGGTTTTAGCTGATTTCATTTCCTCCCTCCCCCCTCCCCCTTTCCGCGCGAGAATAGATAAATCAGCAGATAACACCATCGTTTACCGTTTCTCATTTGGAAGTTCGGACGAACCTACTCATATGCGTCGCATTTGTTCATTAAGAGATTGTACCACCATCGATATCACACAGGACGGTCAATGGCTAGCCTTTGGCGCACGTTTCAAGGCCTATGTCTGGCCCATCAATAACGATCTTGAAGACGTTCACCCATCTCAATTACAACCTCATGTCTCGATCGAACCCATCACCGTGCTGAAAATTCATCCTTCCAAGCCCATGTTGGCTCTCGGTGATAAATCAGGCCGCATCACCTTGATTTCCAATTTTAAATCATCCAACGAAAAAGAACATATTCGATCCACACACCATTGGCACCATCTCCCCGTACGTTGTCTTGCCTTTTTAGCGGACGGTGCCTATTTATTGTCCGGTGGAGAAGAAGCGGTCGTGGTGATCTGGCAATTGGATACAGGTCATAAACAATTTTTGCCTCGTTTGGGTGGTAGCATTGATTCTATCACGATCTCACCCAATAACCGCTTTTATTGTTTGGGATTGGACGATAATTCCATTCGTTTGGTCAATAGTATCACCCAAAGCATCGAGCAAGTGATCCAGGGCCTTCAATACGCTCAAGTCGATCATGCCACCAACCCACTTTCCACAGGCCTCATCATCGAACCTCGTAACCATCACATCGTCCTCAATGGCGTACAAGGCAGTATTCAATTCTACGATGCCAATGCAGACAAACATGTCATGGATCTTGAAGTCGTCCCCATGAACCGTATCTCACGTACCTCTACCGAGAAAGAAATCATCCATGCCCATGTCGCTCATGTCGCCTTCTTAAAAACAGGTGAATGGATGGCAACTGTGGATATGCGTGATGATAAGGTCACCACACCCGAACTTTTCCTCAAGTTTTGGCGTTGGAATCCCGATACCCAGGCTTACACACTTCATACAAGGGTTGATTATCCTCATGCTAAACCCATCACTTCCTTGATCTTTAACCCGGTTTCTACAATGGGTCCTATGGCCATTACCACTTCTGAAGACAAGACCTTTAAGGTTTGGCATTTAAACACAGACCTTGCCAATCATGGAAACCGTGCCGCTACTCAGTCAGATTCCGCTTGGGTCTGTCGTTCTGTCGGTGTCTACCGTGATAGTAACCCTACCTCGGCCGCCTTCTCTGAAGATGGAAGTATTCTTGCTGTCGCCTTTGGTCAAGTCATCACTTTATGGGACCCTTATTCCAACTCGATCCAAAACGTCCTTGCACAACCCACGAAACACGCTGTCCTCTCTCTCAGTTTCCTTGGCGACCAATGTCCTTTTCTCATTGCCAAGACAAAGAACCATCTCTACGTCTGGAACCTCTTGACATGTAAAGTATGGTGGTCCTATAAAATCAGTGTGGATCATTTGGCCATCGATACGGTTTCCAATCAATTTGCGGTTGTACGTAACCATCACCATCGTCAGGCTTCTCGTATCACTATCTTTGACCCCAAATCACCCATCCCTATTGCCCTTCAACACCTCGATCATGCCTGTTTAGCTGTGACTTGGTTACCCAAAGACGATGGTGATGATCATGCTTTGCCCAGCACCCTCGTCTCCCTTTCCAACCGTTACGAACTCGTGATTCATACAGTCAAGTCGACCCATCTTAAACACAACAGTAAAAAAGACAGCAAGACATCCACACCGTCAACAACAGCCACACCGCTTCCTATCACAGAGGAAACTCACTTGTTAAATGATATGTACGGTATGCGTGAAAATGAACGTGAGACAGAAGAAGAAGCTCGTATTCGACTCAAGACGGTACAGACGATGCGTGAAGAAGCCATGTCAGCCAATCGAAAGGAGTCCAAGATGAGACGTAGAGAGGAAGGCGATGTATCTGGTTTAGCAGCACCAAGTCATGTCTTGCCTTCTGTTGATGTTTTGTTTGATACTTTTATGACATCTATCATGTCACTTCGTGTGGAAGAGGAAGAAGAGGAGACGAATGGGATGGAGATGGATGTGGATGAAGAGGAAGAAGAGGAGAATACACAGGATGAGAATGGTCTTGATATTCTCGTGACACAATCACCTAGTGTGGATTTCCCATCCTTAACCACTTTCTTTTCACAAGAATTAGGTAAGTTTGCATGCATTGTTTAAACAATGGACATTAAATTCCTTTTTTTTATATGTAGAACAAACATCTGTACAACATAAATCCACTACTGCACAATCATCCTCAGATGAAGATTCCGAAGAAGATGAGGATCCTTCAAAAATTGCGTGGTAAAAAAAAAAAACAAAGGATTCATAAAATCATAGACTTTTTTTTTATATACATATATAAAAAAACACATCCCCACTTTTCGCACATACACACACACACACACACACACACACACAGAGAAAAATAAAAATAAAAAAATGATTGTATACTTTTATTGATTCATACGAGAAAGAAAAGCATGAATTTCACTTTCTTTTGCCACCCATAGTTTGCGTACCACATTGCCATGGACATCCATAAATTCATGACCCACTGTGAAATCACACCGTTTCATTTTGCAATATTCATGAAAATCACTGACTTCCATCAATTGGAGAAAATCACCATAGCGTGCTACTTCCATCCATAGATCCCCCACCTTGTACTCTTCCCACAACTCATACTGACTTTCATCCATTCTTCTCTCTGCATGATAGGTACGATATGCAAAATTAAGAAATCGTTCTGCCTCTTTAAAATTCTTGATAGCTATCAAATTAAATAGATGAGGAACTCTTTTTTTTTTAACAAGCGGGGGGGGGGGACCACAGTAGAATGTTTTACCTGGATGCTGTTTATGATACCCTGTGTCTGGATCTGTTCGAGCAGTGGTCAGTAAAAACTGATGTTCGATAAAATCTGTTACGGCTTGGTTTGTCTTTTGCGAACTCTCCTGAATACTCGAGACCAATCCTGTCAGTTTCTCTAGTTCAGATACGCTCACAGATACCACTTTTGTCGTCTTATTCAGGTACCGTGTAGCTAACCAACTGAGCACAAGTGTCATTAGGATAGACGCACATCGAAATACATCTTCAAGCGTTTTACCCGCATTAAACAAGTAGTAGTGTAGATCTTGCATGATTTTTATCGAGGACATATGTAAAAACAAGTAAAGAGTAAAAAAGGGTGCGTCACCCTCCTCAACCCCTTCTTTTTTTTTTAAGGTTTTTTTTACGACTTTTGCTCCCATTGTACTCTTTTTTTGTTTTTTTTTAATAAAAAGGACGCACATACACTGGCATCATTGTTTCATCCTTTTATTGTTCCTCCGCCCCTTATAACAATGGGGATGACAAGACGTCAAAAAGAGAAAAAGATGTTCTTTTATAACTGCCCTTTTTTTTTTATTATTATGATTGTACGACAAATGTAAAAAGAGGGGGGGAAGGAAGAGGGGGGGTGTAAAAGGGATATTAAGTAGTAGTTTCCATGGTATAAGTTTTCTAAAAAAATGATCAACAAAGTAAAAAAAAAACAATAAAAAATTTTTAATATACATATAAAAACTGCTACATGAGAACACAACCGCATCCAGCAGTAGGTTCAGCAAAAGGATCAGGATTTCGATTTCCCCAAACGGATGGTACCATCATATCTTGGTTTGTTTTACAAAAATCAATTAGACTAAAAGAATGATTTAAAATTTTAGGGTCTCTCTCTCTCTTTTCCTTTTTTTCATTTTTAACTTACGAGCGACTTGCTTCAGAAATAGGGATACGAGAGATCTCTAGTTGTTCTTTTAATTTATCGTTTAGTTCAAGTAGTTTTCGAAGTTTAGCCTCGGAAACTGCGTGACGTGGCATGAGAATAGATATATAAAAGAAAGAAAAAAAAACAAAGAAAAAAACAAAGAAAAAAAAAAAAAGGGAAACAAAGAAAAGTAGTTCAAAAGATATATATAAAAAAAAAAAAAGGAGAAAGGGAGATATATAAGGGGTGTAAAGAGACACAGAGAGACTTTATCACACGTCTGAACGAGCCACGGTAAAAAATCCGGTTCTATCCCAATAATCTAAGGAGTGTTTCCTCCCTGAATACTATTTTTACTCGGTACAGCTACAACAACAAAAAAAAACCCCTTTTTTTTAAAAAAATCTCTCTCTCTCTTTTATCATGTCGACGAAATACAAAGACTGGTCGTTATACAAGATGTTCATGTCTTACTGTGCGTTGCAACAAGATATCCTGTTGTTTTATCTACAGGGTAGATATCCTGTCGCTTCATTTACAGGGTAGAAAAAATCATATCCAAACTCATCTCAACTTTCCTTTTTCAATTGGACATGTTTTCTTACTTTTTTTCACCTGTTCATTTAGATTATAAAACATCTGCGCTAAAAAAGTAATATGTGTGTATTTATAGAAAAATAAAAGTGTGTACAATAGAAAGTGTGTGTGTGTGTGTACAATAGAAATAGAAAGAAGAAAGAAGAAATAACCCCCACACACTTAGTAATCCTATTATATAAAGAAAAAAAAAGCTAAATAAATAAAAATAAACTTTTTTTCTTATAAAAAACTTACATCAAATCTGTCAGGCATTAAAACTGGTGCGACCATCGACCAAATGTATATAACATGGCAGATCCACCCTGAAACAATTTTAACCCAAACTGCTGTGTAACTCTGTCCAATTCTCACAAGATCGCCATTGTCATGACTGATGCTGTCTTCAAATCGAATCGTGTTCCTATTAAATAAATAAAAATTAAAAAATTCATTTATTTTTTTTACAAATCACACCTTCCCCTGCATCCTCTCCTGCACCCACTTACCAATTGGTCAGCACCATCGAAACATACATGGCTGCAATCGCAAACACAAAATGGAAGAACGAATAACTATACAAGGATCCAAATCGTTCATCATCCCTTTCATCCAAGCCACTATCAATATCATCATCGTCCTCATCCTCATATAATACTGATCTTGGCAACGCACTATATATTTATACACGCAATTAATCTTCTTGCAACCACACAAACCCCCTTCCCCCCCCCTCTCTCTCTCTCTCTCTCTGCTTTATTACCCAGCTTCCACAGCAGCAACCAGATGCTCCCGTGCAGAACCTTGTGAACTCATGCGTTGTGCTCCAGCCTCTACTTGATTAGCCATTAATGGAACCGCACTGGAAGTATCTAACGGCTGATAATTATCCAGTCTAGGCCTACCTGCCGATTTACTAATAAACGCTCCATCCTGCGTAGCAGCACGACTGGTCGAATACGCCACTGCCAAAAATGTAAAGATCGCTCCTAGTACAACCGATGTCGTCTGAGGTCCAATCGACTTGCGTAACGGGTTACATTCCTTGTCGTTAGGCTCGTTCGCTACAGCAGAGAGCACAAGATACGTGCAGTAAATCACTACAATCGATGCCTGTGATAACCCAGACCGCGAGTTACCTTCTTGGATACGAGGTGAGACACACAATACCGTGACAAGCGTACATAGAATCAGGTTAAGTGTCACAAAGAACTGGTTCAATGAGCACCCGTTTGTAGCAAAGAACCCGTACATGATGCCTGTTAATGTGATGGCACCTGCAAACATGAGTAACGTACCAACTATCATTTTATATAAAGGTTAGAAGAAGAAAAATCAACATATAAAAAAAAGGGGCGGGAATACGTTACTAATCAAGATATTCTTCCATAGATTCGAGTCATTCATCTCATAGTTTTCCATACATCGCTCTGTCCAACTATGAGCAAAATCCACCAATAAGACTAACCCAAACAAGATAAAGACAGCGGCTCCAAACAATGCAAAATAATTTCCCCATACCATAAAGAACCCACTCGGAATAAAGAACGAAATCACCAACAGAAGGATCCATCCAAGAATCTTGGGTCCCCACCATCCATTCTGAATAGCCGCTCTTCGTTGCCGACTGTCTGTCACGCCGATCAATAAACAACCCAGAATGGCATGAAACAAAACAAGCGCAAAAGAGACTCGATGGACCTACATGGTTATCCGTAAGTACTTTTTATGTCGTTGTTGGGATGTCTTATCTCTGTAACACACTTTACCCCCATCACACCGTAACAGGTGCCTTCTGCACAATCCAACTTCATGTAATCTAACGTCAGGTGTTCTAATTTCTTGATGGCCCAATTCGACAACATGAGCCAAGCAAGCTATTCACTGTCTTTCAGTCCCTTCTGTCTTTTTATATGTATATATAGATAGATAAACTTACAATCGAATTGAATAAAAAGATAATCTAACAGTCAATGAATCTTAGTCCCATGCCTCTCATTTGATAAAAAAAAATAAAATAAAAGGGTAACTTACTGCATAACCAATTCGAGTGGCTATCGAATTGTTACAATTACAGCTATTTTTTTTTTTAAAAAAAAAAAAGTATGAGTTACTCTCTCTTTTGCCAAGAGAAATAAAATAAAAACCTTTTAAAAGCTAAAGAACATGCAGCGGCAGAAAAGCAACCTGTAAGCCAAGTTCCTATTGTGCCTAGTGCTGGTAAAGCAACACAACTTAGTAATGCACCCATTATTGTGAAAATATACGTTCAGAAAAAAAAGTATAGAAAAAAAAGAAGAAATGGGTTTCGGGATTAATTTTTTGCTTGGGATGATGCAAGAATATTTTTATTGTTGTTGTTGTGCAATGTTGTGTGATGTGAGAATTAATCTAATAAAAAAAAAAAAGTTTATCGATGTAAATATATAAAGTAATAATAGTGGGGTTTTTCTTTTTTGAGGGAGAGGGTAATATCTATAAATTCCAAGGTAAAGTGCCCGTATATAAAGCATTATTCGATGGACAGTAGTTTAAAAGAGGCGCCAACACAGGACATGAAGTGGCATACGCATGTCTTCTACGAAATGGGTTTCGATTCATCTTTTTCTGCCTTAATACACCATGACATCCATACAAATCCTTTTGAAACGGCTTGAACGAATTGATTAATTCTCCTTGTTGACGATCGGGTGCTTCCTCATCCAATGGATCAATGCCAATATATTCAAACCTAGAGATAGATGCACTCATTGTTTTAGCACACACACACACACACACACACTCTCTCTCTCTCAAATACTTACTGTTCCTCTGGATATCCAATGGAGTATCGATGTATATCCTGGAACCGTTGTCGCTTAAATTCAAAACCTACCACCGTCATCTTTTGTGGATAATTGCCCGTCATCTCCGAGAATCGACACGTCGAAAACAAGAGATTTTCATGTGAGTCTCTTGCATATTCTTCCGTTACCATGCGATCCGTCATGCTCGTTTTCAATTCGCTGCTTACACTATCGTCATTATTCAACAGTATCTGTGCTATTTGCCAATATGAAAATGCTTCGGTTCGTGGTCCAGCTAACATTCGAGTTTCTCCACTATGCGTGTGTATGTATATAGAAGTGTTAGCCCTTTTTTATTATTCAAACTGTAATAAAGAGAGTTTTTCCCTTACCCAGAAAATATTAAAACTGCCTTTGGGTCTTGCCTTAATAGATCAAGACCCTTTTGAATGTGTTCGATAAAGACATGCACTTGACCTCCTCTTTGGAAAGGCTCTAGAATCCAATTTGAATCAAGCTTTGTGTCCTGCAAAGTGGGAGGACCTGTATAGATGGCATGACCTGCTACAATGATGGCATGATGCTTTTGGGAAAGAGGTAAAGGAGGTAAAGGGTCGTGTATATTACTGAAAGGGTCAAAGCGAGGTGCTGTGTTATGATGATGTTGCAAGATGTTCAAGAATAAACTACTGAAGAGTATGGTCAATAGTATAAAGATGGGTAACTGTCTTTTATTGAGTCTTCGCCATAGATTTGTTTGTGTTTGCCCACCAGTGAATGAGGTTGTATCGATATGTAAGGGTAATATCGTCTTTCTTTTCTGATTCGACATAAATATTTGCAGTTATTAAAAAGTACCTCTGCCTTCTCTTTCACTCCCCCCACACACACCCCTCCCTGCCCACCATCATCATCGGCTTTACCGCAAACTTTTTTAGATCCCAGTCGGTGCTACACTACTACTACTATATATATAAAATCTCAGAATCCCTTAAAAAAAAAAGCAAGGCTCAAAAAAAAAAAAAAGGGTCCCGAGTCACTAAAACCCTTTGTAAGCTTGGCAATCGAAATTAATGCAGAGAAAACTGATCTTGAAAGAATTATCTCAGATATATAAAGTACATGATAAATTTTCAGTTAATTTATATATTAATCATTCTTCTTTTTTTTTATTCCACTTCTTTATTCTTTTATCTCCATCACAATTAATTATGTCTTCATTATTAGACTGTTCAGTTTGTCAACAACAACTTAACGCACCAGTAACACTGTCGTGTGGTTTCACTGTCTGCCTAAAATGTTTACCTTCAAAGGAAGATTTCCAAAGATCTACCTTTGTGTGTCCTGTCACCAAATGCATGAAAGAATCTCATTTATTCGGTCCTGACCTGTATCTCGATGATGTAACACAAAAAGTCATCCAGAACGACTTTATCAGTCAAGATACTCTGAATGAGGCTATCTACGGGGAAGCTGCTACTGTCTTTCAATGCTCCATTGGTAACCATCTTTTAGAAGGTCCAGTTACAAATCATTGTGGTCATACTTTCTGTAAATTATGTCTTTTACAATACAAGATCACCCATGATTCATGCAATAAGTGCCAAAAGAGATTACCTTCCTACCAATTCATTCACAACCAACCACTCAATTTCCTTCTCAATAACCTCCTCAGCATCTTTTCTAATATTCGTCCATACAACAACATTGAAATCGCTCGTCCCAATCAGATATCCAACGTTTCCATCTCCTTCTTGGACTTGAATCACGTTACCTATCAAAATATACCCATTTATTTATCCGATTTCGCTGTCTTGCCCTCTCAAAAGCTTCGTATTCCCATCTATACCCAACAAAACAGAACTTTTTTTCAAAACGCCTTGATCGCATGCAAAGAGTATCAATGTCTTTGTGTAGGCATTCTAAGCAAAGACAAGTCGAACAAGAAGGGTAAATTCGGCACCATCGTTAAAATTACCTCCATCGAACAACGCGCGAACGATATGCTGGTTGATGTCATTGGTATGGACAGGTTTAAGGTCCTTAGCGTCAATCAAGAAACAGACGATTTCCTTTCAGCTGACCTCGAGATGCAATTTGAGAACGAACAGGACCTGGAACGCGTCATGTCTACACAGAATCATTGGACCGAAAAGCGACATATCAGTCCTCCTTCCACTCCTACCGGTAAAAACACCATGGAAATGACCACTACGAGTGCCACCATTGCTCCTCCTTCTTCACCACCTTACTCTCCTTCCTCTCCTCAACCCATCTATGATTTTACAACCGTATCCACTGCAGTCAAATTATCAAATAACGTTCATGATTTTATTAGTGAACTTGCCCATAGCACGCCTTCCACATCCTTTTGTAGTGCGGTAGAAGGTCTCTTGGGCCCCGTCTGGTTAGACTCTGTACAAGGACTTCATGGTCCTTTGCCATCGGGTGATCATCCTGTAGCCATGTGTTGGTGGGCCGCTGTTGTCTTACCCGTGAGTAACACAGACCGATATCTTTTACTGGAAACACCCGCCTTGGAAGAACGCTTGACCATCATTTTAAGTTGGATTCACGATCTGAAATCACAATGGGGTAACTGTCGACGTACAGCTGTTAATTCTGTTGCCAAAGTTGGCAAATAATTTCTTTCCCTTTTTCATTATACCATTTTTTCACACACACACACACATCCCTTATTTTTGTCCATATGCTGCACTATTAGTCTCTTTTTCCTTCCAAAAAAAAAATAACAATAAAAAATATATATTAAAAATTATTTTATTTTTCTATTTTTAATTGTCTGCATTTTGTTTCTTATTTCTTCCATTTTGTTCGTGAGAAAAGGGGTGGTGGATTTGTCTCTGACGTTTGATTATCCCTTCAGATATGCACAAAAAATTGAAATTAGATACGCGATCTTATATTTGGGAACAGTTGCTAGGATACCTCCCCATCCCTTTAGTTTTTTTTTTTTTTTTTTTTTATTTCCCGTTCAACATCGGGGAATATTTTCAATTACGAGTGACACATGAGTGACACTCTAGGAATCGATTTAGATCGACGTATTTTGCACAATTGGATCAAAGTAAGGGGAGAACGTGCTAATAAAATGTCAGCTGAGAGGAAAAAATGCGCCCTTTTCTATATATAAAAATAAAAAGTGAGTCATATGAAACATTGATATTAAAAAAGATCGTATAAATGAGAGCCATTTCTCGATGATTGGAAAACAAGTACTGGTTTCCTCAAAATAATAATAAAATTAGAATTCTCGTTTTTTTTTTTTTTATTATATGCATCATCCTTTTTCGGTCATCACATCCTCTATTTTTATATCAAAAACTTTATTCTCTATCCCAGAACCCCATAGTCAGTGAAATAAAGTTGTTTTTTATCACCCCGCATGTTATTTCCTTTCGATTCTTTTTTTTTTTTTTTTATTGACAGTTTTTTGTTTACTAGTGCAATCGCGGGTTATTAAATTAATCTAACTAAACCAGAAAAGCTTTTTTTTTTTTTTACTGAAAAAAAAGGGGGAAGTTCATCGTCCCATTGGTAGTGTTTCTATTTCATATTCATCAAGATGGAGAGTAATGTCTTTAGGGTTTTTTTTTTTTTTTTTTTTTTTTTTTTTTTTTTAGAAACCGGTCGAATTGCAAGCATGATTTTTAAAATAACTTTATAGAACACGTCTATTTCTTATGAACGCGCTTTTATTTCCAAACGTATCATGCATACGCCCAGTCGATTCCTTTTTGTTTTTTGTTTTTTTTATTTTAAAAAAAAAAACCCCCCGTTACCAAAGGATTGGAAAGTATGAGACGATAGATTTCTGTATAAATGATACAAGTAAGAGCAGTAACGATTACGTTTTAAATTTCTATTGGAAGCTTAATAATGCTGCGTGATGTTGACAGTACCTGTGAAAAACAAACTGCAACTTTTCAAAAAAAAGAAGGGGAGTTTTCGTTGTTGTTGTTGTTGATGATACTGTTGGAGTAAATGTATAAAAAATAAAAATGAAGTGGTATTCATATTCATAGTTTTTTTATATATATAATATTTTCTAGACTTTGTTAATAATTATGAATTACATGATGACACGGCCAGTAGCAAGAGAAAGAACAATAACCAGAAGGAAGCAATAAAATGAACAAGAACAACATCCTGATCATAGTAGTGCAAGTGTTTGATATTCAACCACCCACGACAATTTCGTAATCGACAAGATTGTAGACACTAAGTTATAAATCATGACGACAGTTTAATGTTGTAAATAATAAAGGTAAAATGCCGAAAATAGTATTTTTTTTTTGAAAATATTATTATTTATGAATACTACTTTGGCGCTCAGTATTGTGGTTATAATGACCGTTTGTGCAAAGCCAAATACTTAACAAATTAATAGTGTGTCACTTTGTTCTTTGTTGGTTTTAATTGGGAAGGTGATCCAAAAATTTGACGATCAGGGTAAAAAAAAAAAAAAAAAAAAAAAAAACTTCTTCATAATCTCCAAACACATATTATTCAACATTTCATTTTGTCCAACAAACTACACCAATGCACGTCATGAATCATGAAAGTGATCTTTCTTTTTTTTTTTTGATATCTAAATATCATCTGGTCTTTTTAGCCTTGTCAAAAAAATAACCAAAGTTCATTTACATGCAACAGGAAAAATTAAGAGTAAGCTAATTGAAGAACGCGATTGAACGTGAAATCGAACTTTTGGACCGTTGGTTTCGATCAATTATAGAGTAATCGAAACCCAACAGTTTCAAGTTCTTCCTCATCCTCTCCATATACCTAACATCACTATAATCTTATAATCACTCAAGCAGCTAAACAGTTCACAGGAGTTTGATGTTTGTCTTACAATGCATTTATGGTTAAACAAGTACATATCTTTTTTTTTTGAATTATAATAAAGTGGGTTAAATCAGATTGATGCTCTTTGATCTGTTTTTTTTTTTTTTTTTTTTTTTTTCTTGAAAGACGAAAACAGGTACTACGGAAGAGAGGTTGAACTCATTACAATCAATAAATAAGGTTTTTTATCTGTAACTGCTAAAAGTAAAATGATCTTGATAATTATAAAAATTGATGCTCAGTTATAGGGGACAAGTACAGTTTTCACACTTTAAATTCAGACACTGTTAGTTTTTTTTTTTCAGACAAATGAAAACTTACTTTCAGACATTGGAGGTGGCGCTTTGTCTTTAAAAAACACTCGGTGACCCATTACCACTTCAAATGGAGCTAGCAATAGTAAACATATTCTTCGATGCTAAGGCGTCTCGGTTCCAAAAGATATTACAATTGTTGTAGTTTAATATCTGATGGATTGTGTGACCACCCACACTTCAGATTCTCCAAGTTCTTTACGGGACAGCCATTGCACGTCTACAAAAAAAAAGAGCTTTGTTACTAATACCTTTTCAAATTGAACATCTAATTAATTCACCTTGGAAGTGTTGTACTCGTCGATATCAAGCAGTAACAATTCACCCAAATTCTCACGCCGCTTTAGCTGTCTGTACAACTTATCGATTACTCCATGTCTTAGTCCTTTAAATCGGGCATGCGACTTGTTTTTTAACCCGTCTCCAAATATTATCATTGGCATTTTGCTTTTATCCCCTTCTTCGAATTTTTCCTTAAATGCCCTTTAAAAGAATAAAATGATAAATGCTTCTAGAAAGAAATAAAAAGCAGTTTTACCTCGCTGCTGGTTTTCCTTTTTTTGACTGACTGGTGTTGGAAAGATCTCGCTTATATCTGCTAGTTAATTTTCGTCTTTTACGTTTATTTCGCCTAGTGTTTTTTCTCCTGTTTTTGTTGTACTTTGTGGAGAACCGTTAATCAAAATATTGATAGCATGATCCGTAGCCATTTGTTTCCCGATATAGTTGGACCACCGTATTCTAGCAGTTTGGAAATCATAAAAAGTGACTAAGGCTTCAAAGTGTTAGAGCATATATGTTATGTGCCTTTTATAATGATCAGTTCCAGTTGTTTTTGGGGAAGGGATTCTGGTTTCAATATATTCGATGTTGTTACCTTTCTTTCTTTCTAGTTCTTGTTTCTGACGGTTGATGACTCCGTTCATATTGTCATACTCAGAGCTAGAGAGGCGTCTTACATCATTCTCGCCATGGTATGATGTAAAAACATCCTTCCTATTAGGATCGACTGTACATGGCTTGAAATTTTGTTTGATCTCTTCGCTATTGAAGTTATTCAAGGTCAGTGTGACCTTTTCCAAAGATGAAACAGGGTTTTCTTTTCTACAAAAAGAGACTCTACATGTAGAACCATCGGTATAAAAGCTGTTCAAAAACATCCGACCTTTCTCATGCAGTGATTGTAATTCAGCCAGACTGTTCATGTCAAAGATAAAAAAGTTCCGTACAGTATTATTCAAAAAAAAAAAAAATGTTGTGAGCTTACCTGTTTATTTTCAATTTTCTGAAGTCAAAGCATTCAAAGAAAGGTCTTTGTGTGAAAGAAAAAGGTGTCTCCTCTTGTACTTCCAAAAATCCCATGTAGGTTTTGAGTATCAATTTTGATAAATCGCCATTTTAAGCTTGGATTCGGAAATAAACTGAACAACCTTGGTGGTTGGGAATCGTTTCTCTTTATCTTTATGCGCATTTGAGATCTTATTCTTTATTGATGATTTCTTCTTTTTAGGCCTTCTCCGTGACTGATTTAAATCCTCAATTTGTTGCAATAAATTGGACTGTTGTGGTAAAGTCAATGGTAGTTGTATCGATGTTGTTACTTCGTGGTTCGCTTCAATCATTGATTTGTATTTAGACAGTATATGTCTAAAAACTGGCATTATATCGAAAGGGGCCTTATTTAATGTCGCTTTTGTGATAGGAGCTGGTGGTAAGCGATTTTTGATTTCTACAATCGGCGGGTTTAGAAATGTTCGAATTTTGTCTTGCGTTTCTTTATTCACAGAACTCCCAATGTTTTCCGGCAAAGTTAATTGTTGCACGTTAAAAACTATTTCTAATATATGACCGTACACCATAGATTTGATATAAGACATTCTCAAGTCCTATGTATTGTTGATAACAACCTTTTGTAGGTACAATATAAATTTATCTTTTACCTGAAATTCAGCACGGATCATATGTATGAAATAGTTACTGACAATGTTTTCAAACAAATTTGATGTAAAAGTTGTTGCAGCAAGTTGCAACATTTTCACGCGCGCACGCTAGTACGTGACCATAGTTGGTAAGACCTTCTTTTTTGACAAACATGCTTACACCTTCAAGGCCGCTGAGTTCCGTCCATATTTCTTCCAGATGAGGAATATGCGAAATGTACTTCTGCTTAAAGCTTTCAATTGACACATTCTCATTTATAAGCCGACATAAAGAATACCAAAAGTTTTGTTGGAAAAACTCGTTTGGCAAGTCAGCTGGGTACCTGAGAATATAATAATTTATAAAAAGCTGTGCTCTATAAATCACATTTCTCAGAAACATAGATAAACTCTTGATTTTGTTGAGGGTGTTATTAAACGCAATATCATTAGATGTGGGGAAGCATGATCGAAGTGGTATAGACACTGTGTATCTTTGATAATTAAGGCCAATTTTGTTTTCGATAGTTTCTTGTATTGTGAAATTATGATGACTGCCTTGCTTACTTCTCGCAGATGAGTGTCCGCTTTCACCACAAGATTTGCAGGATATAGCCGCTGCTATCACAAGATTGAAATTGCGTGCCCGCTCTGTTGCGCTTTTGTTGTTTTTTTTTCTACAGTATCCTTTTGTTTTATACCTTTTAAAGACTTGAGTTTTTCTGTTCCGTTATTTATACATTGTTGCAGCCAATAATAATGTGGCTTGTTGTTACACAGGATAGGATCTTTCCTATAAATACGCTCCCTTTTTTTCAATTCTTAATAAAGATTCTTTAGTTTTGTCTTCACCTAAATTTGGGATTTATCTTGTAATTGATACTAGTAGTATTTCCTCCGCTTTTTGTTGCTGTTTGTTGTCTATTGTAAATTATACAATCACATCATCTTCTTACATAAACCCGTCGTAAACTCTTTTATCTTTAACATCTAAGAACTATATTCTCTTCTCATCTCTCACTGTATTATTATCGATCTGCATTTTATTGTCTTATCCATATATTTTATCGTCTAAGATCACTACAGAAATACTCTTAATAAATAATAAAACTAAGTTGACAACTAAAAGTCTGGTGCTCACTATCACAATTGTTATATAATAATAATTGTCCCTTTTTAAATCTAAATCCGTACTAGCGCTATATCAACATATTTCATAGATATCACCTTTTTTTTTCTTTAGCTTGGACTTTGAAGTTATTGTGTACTGCTGTCCCTTCTTCTTCTTGCTGCTGTAGCTTTTCATATAAATGTTGCTTTTTTAGCTTTATGAAGCTTTCATTATCTGGATAAATTGGGATACGCATATAGTTAATATACGGAAAGAAATGAGGATGTTATTACAAAAATTTTGTTGAATTTGTCGTATTTGACGCCTAAATAAATCGAATACAATTACTATTTAATGAGTTATAATATACTTCATATATTATAACAGACACAGTACCAATTCTCATAATCTTCTAACTGGAAATCATACCCTACATTGGACTCCGGTTGGCTGATTTACTGCGGTTCCTTCTAGCACCTACGATGAGTAATCAAGTAATCCAATCATCGCACATATTGCTAAATGGATAAATGATATCTCTGCTAGAAATTCCTGACATACAACCATATGCTTACATAATTATATTTTATAAGCTATGTTTCATGTCATTACTGATTTATATTTCAAATCCAACAATTCCCAGTCTCTGGAAATGTTTATTCGATCTACGCAGAAATTAATTGAAGTAATAATTTAATATAAAAGGACCTCTATTTTATCATGACAAACTTTCCAACTGATAATAAAGGATTAAAGAGTCTCATTTCTTTACTTGCTTATTTTTATCTTTTATTTCTACCCTTTTATACTCAAATTATCACAAAATGCATCCAGGCTCTTTACAATGTATCTTCTAAATGACTCTTCTTTCTTATTCTGAATTATAAATTCAGCTTTTTCTTTTAGAGATGATTGATACTTATGAAATATTGAAACAGTGAAATGAAAGTCATGTAACTGTTATTCCCATAGGGGAGGGGGCAAAACGAGCAAACAACTGTAAGATCACACCAGTTTCTCGCGGAGTTGATAGACAAAAAAGGCTAAAACCGATGACACTAAAACAGAAAAGCCCAAAAAAGGTACAACTGCTTGCCATTTGTAACCTTTGTTCAAAATGTCATGGATGTCCTGGACAGACACAATAAGCTTGGCTTTTATATAGTTATGGATAATTGCCGAATTCACTATATCCATTGAGTGTCGTTAATGCAATCCAAAGTAGGGGATATAAGCCTTTATATATGCCCTTATATTCACCATTTTTGAATCCTATTGAGGAGTGTTTGTCCAAGTTTAAGAAGCACATCAAAAGAAGACCGCTTTCCACTTTAGACACTTTAATTCCTAGAATCAAAACAGCCTGTGAGACTATCACCACAGAAGATTGCATTGGCTGGATGCAACAATCTGAAACTTACTGGGATAAATGCCTTAATAAAAAATAAAGACTCGTTTAAACTTTTACTTGTCTGAAAATTTTTTTCCCTTTGTCTGAATAATTTTTCCCTTTTGACTGAATAATTTTTACGTTTGTCTGAATAATTTTTTTACGTTTGTCTGAAAATATTTTTTTTAGTCCGAATTTTTTTTTGTGCTTGTCTGAAAATAATTTTCGCTTGTCTGAATTAACGTGATAATACTGTAATCTAAAGGATAAAGAATAGTTTCAGTGCTGGATTGGTTATTTGAAAATAGTAACTTTAGTCTCTTTAATTTATCAACATCATCTCATATATCATACTCACCTATATAAAGAAGACGCCCGACAAAGATTATCCCGTCATGCAAAAAAATATTCTCATATAGCAAAAACAAATACCTCTCGCACATTTATCTCATGGTACCTTTCTCTCCAGGGATAAACGCTTTTCAAAGAATCCGAGGGAATGTTGGATTCAGCCTTATTAGTCTTTCTTGGCTACATTGAAACAGACATTTTAATGATTTTAGGTGTGAGTGTCTCGCCAGTTTTAAAAGGCCTTTTTGTTTTTTTACAAGACATACTTTTTCTCTATCCAGAATTGCTCAATTGGGTTTAGGAATAGATAAGTACTTTAGAGAAATGAGCTTACAGAGAGACTTGGAAAAACATAATCAACAATTCGTGCATTCCAACCAGCCAGTTGTAATTGACCGCTCATCAACAAAGTCGATAATAATATTCGGGTTCAAGAGCCTTTTGTATTTGGTTATTTGATGTAACGCTATCAGTTTAGTTTAATACTATCAACGTCAAAGCGGATAGTTAGTGCATGCAATCATGTAAAATATAAATTACTGCTATACCCATTTAAATAATTAGCATTTATATGTGGCTATAGCTTGTATAGGATCATTTAAACAAAGCATGCAAACCATCTCAAAACCGTGATTTCGGAATCGATACCTAAACAAATATAATAGTCATTAAAAAGGAGCCATTACTCAGGCAACCTTTGACAGGTGTAATAAGAACCATTGAGTATTTTTTACATAAAAATATCCGTGCTAATGATATTCAGATCCTTTTTTCCGAATGTAACAAAAAAAAAAAAAAAAAAAAAAGTGAAAAAGTATTAAGTTAATATTGTCAAATCATGATGCTTAGCTTATTGCTAAGCTTCACGTAACGATAAAATATTGTGTGTCACAATGAATAACCAAAATTATCACTGAGTTCCAGAAAATGTCTTCAATGAAATACGACTAAATCTGCCTCTTAGCCATTGGCAGTAGCTACCTAATAAGATAACAATTTTATGTTTGTCGCATTCGTGTAGACAGAAATTAGCCCCACAAGACTAAAGATTATCTTGTCAATAAAATATACGCATTGTGTTGGAATAAGCAATTTCTTTATTAAAAGTATTGCTTAAGTAATTTGAGTCATAATTTAAAGTCGTTTGTCGAGAATAAGCATGCCGAAGATGCATAAGAACAACAATGGCAGCAATTCAATCATAGGCTGAGCAGATAAAGATGCACTGCTTTCTTCTGTCCAGGTAGCATTGTTTGGCAATAGCATTTGGGCTTTAAGATGTCCTGTTTGGTTTCCTACAGCACAATCATATGAAACAATTCTTGCTTTGAGTAAATCTTCCACGCTGGTAATTTGTAGCGAAGTACTATTGCAAGAAATAATTGAACAGATGCTAATAGGCGAACAATACGCTTGAGTGCGAGTTATAGCGGTATTCTTTGCATCCTCAAAATATACGAAACAAGCAGAGGTAGTGTAATTTCCAAGGCCATCGGCAGATGAGCAGTACAATTCAGGGCAAAGCTGATTATAGTTTCCTCCGCAATCCATTTCTTTTTCCTTTGCCTTTTTTTTTTTTTTTTTTTTTTTTTTTTGTAAGAAAGAGAAAAGTTAGGCTTTCAGATACCTGTGGTTGTGAATAAGTTTATATATAGCTGTATTACAAAAATACGTTACACAAGTTAATGTTCATGTTAGTTTGTTGCTAAGGGCCCTCACAAGCAACAAAATTATTTTTTTAAAGATCCTGTTTTAGGACTTTATTATTATTATTTTTTTTTTATTTTATTTTGTGAAAGCTTACAATTTTGCCAAATAGATGAATAAAAAATTAAATGGATATATATAGGCGATTAACAATAACATCGAATTTTCTCCAGTGCCAAAATTTTCGAAATATCCCAATAAAGGATTAAAATCCAACGACCCCAGAATCCTTCTATCAGATGAAAATTCAGCCAAATTGGGCTACTGAACTCACCAATGTTGTTGTTTTTTTTTTGATAAAAGAGTTGTGCTTGTGATCCTCTTCATTTTTCTTTACCAATTCTTAACTATCCAATTTTATTTAACAAAATGCCTTTCCAAAAGTACGCTACCATCGTCATATGGGATTCAGCAAGCACCAACGTTTTGATCGAGTTGTTTTCCGATTACGTTTTAAACGTGGGTGTTATTCGCTCACCTCAAGCAAAGCTGAACTTGAACAAGGCAACGGAAGATGCTTTTAATGCCAGTGACGCTATCAACAGTAGAAGGGACTTTGCAGCGACGAATAACAAGTGGATTTGCCTCTGTGATACGTTCAGAACCAGACGAGACGATGCTAATTCTACTGGTAGTGCACCTCTTCAACACTGGGAGTTTCACGATCTGATGGAACAGGCAACATCGAGAATGCAATAAAACTGTAGTGGAGACTTTGTTGTCGGTAAAGTGTAGAAATGTCTGATTCCATAATCATATTCATATCATCATCAAGTCCAAATAAAATTTATTGCGATTCAGCAACTACTGTAACAATTTGAGATAGGTTCATTTTGTTTTCTCTAGAAATAAAAAGTATATCGAAACAATAGAGTCCTTGAAAAATAATAACAAATAGGTTAGCATTTTGAGTGAACTTTATATTTTAATCGTTCAAAAAGGGTCATTAAAAAGCAACGTCATGGATTTTGGAAAAAGCTTTCTTTTGGAAGTCTGAAGTAACCTTTCACAAAAAGAAAATAATAATAAAGTTCTTAATCGGGATCTTTAAAAAAATAATTTTGTTGCTTGTGAGGGCCCTAAAATCACGTACTGTTATGCGACAAATTAAGCGTATTCTCTACTTTTTTAAATCACCTTCCGAAGCACATACATAGTATTTTTTCGGGTTTATACATGCCAAAAATACCTCTTTCTATCTCTATCTACTTATCTGTAGTCTCCTACGAGGCATAATCACCTCTTTTTTTTTTTTTTTTTTTTCAATTTGGTTTTTTAAAAAGGAAAAACTGAGTACTAAGCTTGTTCAGTGTGTACTACTTAATCAACATGTTTTGAGCTCCTTCTTGAATTTAAGCTGCCGAATGAATTTTGCGATCATGATGAGGGGCAGTTTTTTTTGTCCTTTTCAACGATCCTAATTTACTGTGTCTTTATTTCTTGCAGTTTTGCTGATATTGAGTATTCTGTAAGCTTTGTAAATGTTGAGGTATATATTTATATTGTTTTTTTAACTGCTGAGCTCGATCTTGTTAACGCTGTGTTGCTAGCCAGAAAATGTCTGGTGTAAGAATATACTTAAATGTAAACGTTTAGAGTCATATCCAAAAAACCATGTCATGACAGAGTATGTGAAATCAAAAATTATTTATTCAAAAAAATGGGGCGGGGTAGGGTGGGTGACATTCCATGACATAAATTTTTGGTTTCAGTCCATACCAATCTGTTATTATTTACGCTCTAACTCATGAGGAACAAAATGTTTTGATTTATGATTTAAAGACTCTAAATTAACTATGTCATTTCTATTAAACGTTCTCGAATGCATTGCTGGTACCTGGGGTGATATGAGGGGCTAAATTGTCTATTGACAGATTATTTTTCAAATATTTATTTGCAGTTGAAAGATTTCGCTCAACGTAGCTTAATCTTCTGTTTTTTATCTTAACCTGATGCCTTTTTTTTTTGCCAAAACAGCAGTATCACCTCCGCACATAAATACGTCTTTAATAAATGGGGGATATAATCCAAAAAGCCGTCCGATACAGCATCAAAGTATGAGTAATCCGGTTCTTCTGTTTGATATTCTTTGGGATGTTTTGAAAAAAGTCTTAAAATTGAAATTATATGATATTTTCAATAATTTCGAGCAACTTTTTGGCTTGAAAGAACGTACGGGAACGACGTTTTACTATACAAAAAATTCAATTAAAAACAGCTTGTTAAGCAAAAAAAGGAGCAGGAAAAAGTTCATTGTCAATATTGGGTAAATTATGGGCAGCTTTTTTATACATGGGAACATGAAATCATATTGGGCGCAACCTTTTTACTATAATATAACAGAATAAAAGTCTTGAATTTGATGATTTATCT